TTAATGACTTGGAGAAGATCTGCAAAGAGGAGTGGGACAAAATCCTTCCTGAGATGTGTGCAAACCTGGTGGCCAACTACAAGAAACGTCTGACCTCTGTGATTGCCAACAAGAGGTTTGTCACCAAGTACTAAGTCCTGTTTTGCAGAGGGGTCAAATACTTATTTCCCTCATTAAAATGCAAATCAATTTATAACATTTTTGACATGCGTTTTTCTGGATTTTTGTTGTTGTTATTCTGTCTCTCACTGTTCAAATAAACCTACCATTAAAATTATAGACTGATAATTTCTTTGTCAGTGAGCAAACGTACAAAATCAGCAGGGGATCAAATACTTTTTTCACTCACTGTATGAGGGCACAGTGGAAGGTTGCTAAAAATTATTCCCTCGTTATTCACGCAACTCGTTATCCGCGATTTTGGCTATCCACAAATTGCGCCTGGAACTGCATCGAGAGAGAGAGAAGAAAGAAGGAAATCAAGTGATGAGATAAAGCGATGAGATAATGTGATGAAAGATAAAGTGATGAGAGATCAAGTGATGAGATAAAGGGATGAGAGAGAATGTGATGAGATGCAATGATGAGAGAGAAAGTGATGAGATTTATTATTTACGTATTTATGTAAGGCAAATAATTAAAACGATGGGGTTTTCTTAGGCCAATATCATTATTCGCGAAATATGCTATTCACGAACATCTCCGGGGTGTATGCCTCGTGAATAACAAGGTAATACCATACAGACAACTCACGAGCAAACATGAATTTCCCCCTGCTTGCTGTATCTATAAAAAGACAGTTAATAGGCCTGTACAATGTTAAGGTCACTGACTTCAGAATGACACCTAAATTGATACCATGTTTTGTTTGTCGTGGAAAATTAAGGGATGTCAGTTCCTGGCTTGTTAGGTATGGAATAGGTAAAAAGACATGTTTTTTTCCTTCTAGTGGCAGTTTTAACTACTGTATATATATTTTTATATTGTAATTTCCGTCGGTGCTGTACGATCATCCCCAATGGTTAACTCAAGGAAGCATCTGTTATTCTTAGCTGTTTCGGTAAAGTCACGTTGAAGGGAAACAATAAAATAAAAAATATATATATAAAACAATAAAAATTCTCACGACGTTTCGACCATAACACAACGGTCATCATGAGGTGTGAAAACCGTTGGTTTTTTATATATATTTTAATTATTGTATTGTTTCCCTTCAACGTGACTTTACCGAAAGAGCTAAGAATATGAATTACTGCAGTCACGAAAGCTTTAAATCAGAAGCATCTGTTGTTAACATTTTAAACTTTGTATTTGTTTCTCTCATGCTTATCTTAAGAATACAATTAATGTGCTCTTTTGAGAATATTTACCATTGTGGAAATACGTGTGTTTCTCACATATGGTATCGGTATTTAAAAATATATATATAAAATGTGAATTCCACAAAGTATTTTTCCATCCAATTATGGAAAGTAGCTTCAACCTGTTCTTGATTTTCTTTTCTTCCATTTTCTTCCATCTGGCTGCCACTCGTGGAAATTGATTTCCCTTTTTGTCTTATCTTAAAAAAAAACTCCAAGTCCATGTGATCTTGGTTTGATGTTACTTAAAAAAAATGAAGTGCGTTAGAAAAATGGAATCTTTCACACATGGCTAGCAACTCTGCCAAATATTTCTGGCACTGAATCATTGCGGTAGAGCTGCCATAAGTGTACAAAAAACACATATTGTACCTAAAATATGGTTCTTTTGTGTGATGTAATACCAAGGCCAGCTATCAATGCAAGACCTGCCAGTTTTCTCTGCACGAGAATTATGGACTATAGCGCCATTGTAGTCGCAGTCACGACCAAAATCGGTGGCAAATATCTAAAGCGGTGGGTTTTTTGGGGGGGGCTCCCTAAATGAGCACCTCGTTGTGATGGGCATTGGGGAGAAAACGGCGGTCGGGCGAGGTGCTGGGCACAACACCCCACCGTGTACCATGCCGGTCGTCTTCATCGGCGCTGGCTCATGCATGGGTACACGGCGGTGAGGGTGGGATATTTGTCTTTAAACGCCACGTTGCCAGAGAATGTGGGGGCGAAATATTTAATGGTCTTGTTCACATACGCTCTAATTGTGAGCAAAAGGAGTCTTTGCCAGGCGGTGTTGTCTCCATAGGGAACGCGGAGCATTTTGCGCATGAATGGTGTCAAGTCGGCAGTGTTCCTCTTTCCTCTCCACCATCCCCCCCACTGCCCCCCACAAATAAAGCGGGCGCAAACCCCGTGAATGAAAGCGTCGCACGCATGATCAAGTAATTCCTCTTTCAATGCAGGAAATCGGCTAACGATTACATTTTGTTGGTTTGAAAACCGGCACTTAATACATTTATTCTATCAACATGTGGTTCATGTTTTACTCCAGAACTGGTTTGAATATTCTCCACCGATCCTTTTTTGGGGGGTTTTACAAATTAGATGAAACAATACTGCGTTAAACATTAACTTGTGGGTTTAAATGTGGGTTTAACGTTGAAAGGCTGTGGTGTACTCTTGTTTGAACAAGGAGCAGACTTTAAAAAAAATCTATTTTGAAACAGTATGCGCGGTGTAGATTACAATAGCACTTTCTAAATGTAATGCAAATGATGAAACCGCGAGTTGTGTTTGTCTTGAGTGGACCCACATCGCGACGATGCCACTGGATCTTGAGATTCCCTGACAGTTGAATAACTTGGTTTAGATTTCGTTTGTGAAAGATGCATTTTGTTCACGCTCTTCAATGTCTGCTGCTTCGCTCTATGTGCTGCTGGGATCATCTTCGGGATTCACAATTACGTTCCTGAAGAAGCTTCCATCAGTTGGAGAGTGAAACGTTGGACATCAATAACCCGAAAACAATAAAGTCACATCACCTTGCTCTTTAGATAATCGTAGTAACTATTCAAACTCGTGGGAGCGTTATGGTAGTTGGAGAAAACACGTCAAGTTGTTATGTTTGTTATAACCATTGTTATAAACATAATGCAATCATTGTTATATTTATTGTAATCATTGTTATGTGTATTGTTACATTCCAAAGGTATTATATTTCAACTCCAGTATATGCGCATTGCTGATGTCATTATTTGAGAGCTGCCCCCATCAACTTGCATTTGGAGCTGATAAAAAAAAAGATTTTCAGCTGAAAGTGGGAAAAGGTTGTTTCTGAAATATCTTTTTACATCCATAACGAATGCAGTTTACTCTGCATTCCAAGAATATTAACATTAATCTTGCCCTGAAGTGCTCACTGAAATTAAATCTAAACACCTTCGTGTGTAATATATCTTGGATTTAGACAGGGGAAGGCATTTCTTGTTGTTTGTTCTCGTCTGGTTCTCCTGATTAGCATACAGTAACCCTAACGATTAAGCCGCTTATGGCTTCCCACAATCGCTCCTTTTTATAATGAGATCAGTTTTACAGTTACGCAACAGGTAAAAAATGTGCTTTTGCTTAAAAGCTTCCACTTGAAGGTTTATGTGCAAACATTTTTAGACATATATATAGAAAATATAGGCAAATAAAACCAATTTGTTCAGCTTTAGATATATTCATCTGTATTCATGATTATAATTCTGAACAGAAAAGGGGTTTAGTTAATGAAATACTATTTGACCGAATCTCAAGATTTTGTGCACGCAATTTGCATTTTAACGGATAACTGGCTCATGAGCTTGCATTTATGCTATGCTTCAATTTGAAATGAGCATCATTGTTTGGTTACTTGACAATGAAACAATAAGTGCATTGTTTTTATCACTTTCTTTTTATACCCCAACAACAATGGTTCTTACGACTTTCTGTGGATTATAAGACGCTTCAGAAAGTCAGATGCATCGCAAACCTGTTACCCACTGTAAATAAAGTTACGCAAAGCTGGCCGCACAAGGCACACCTGATGGAGTGTAAGATTGCACGACAAACTGTTACTCTAAAACTATATGGGCGTGGGGAGTCTTATAGATTCCGATAAAACTATAGAGGGGGGGGGGTGGAGGGGAGGGAGGAAATGTCTTAAAGATTCTGCAAAAAACGGTATTGGAGAAAATGGTGCACATTACAAAAAAATAATATCACGGAATTAATGTCTAAAATTAAATTTCTCTCGCATTATTTTTAAAAAAAATTGACCTGACAGTGTTGTTGCAAGGTAGGAAAAAAAATGGTCTTACAGGTCGAGGTTTTGACGATGTGACTGCCTTTCCGAGAAAACGTTGGCTGCTTTCCAAATTGCGTTAGCCACGAGAAATATCGTTTATCCGTAACCGTTGTGCACATTTACGCACGTGACAAATTTTTGGCACAGGAGAGTCCCCTGACGCGGGTCAAGTCTGATTTCCTCTCCAGGGTCCTTGTTCACAATGTATGACCCATTTGATCCTGACACCACCGGAATGTTGCAGCCACCCTTACACGTGAGGGTGATCACGCTGTTTTCGACGATAAAAAAACAGGGTAACGGTGCAGCCCTGCAATTCCTTGCTCATGCAGCTGCCTCGCGGAAGAACCTCCACGAAGGGAAGGCTTCCCTCCGGAGGGTGTCATTTTGGCTTTATTCTTCCACATGGGCCAGGCCTCTCAGAAGAGGTGGGTGTACCCACACTTTACCCCACCTCGTGCCAACCGGGGTATAAGAAACCTGCACATTGAGATCAACTGTCGTGCCAGGAGTGGGTTACGAGTCCAGTGTGCCAAGCATTGCACCAAATGCTGAATCAATTAGCTAATCAGTATAACTCTGCTCGCCCGACTCCCTTTAGCTCAATTATCGATGATAAATTATTTTCTGAATGAATGAAGTAATATCATATTTTGGCTCGATATGCCCAATACCGTGCAGGTGTCAATAATGACGGTGCGTAACGTGTGGGGCGCGGTGTTGTTGATGTTTATCGGTGTGAATGTAGAAACACGAATGATTAAATAACCCCCCCCCTCTCTCTCTTTATTTTCCCTTTGTGACTTTTGCAGATCCACCCCACGTCGGAGGAGGAGGAGCGTAATTCCGCTTGGGATGCGTGGGGAGCGTGGAGCGAGTGCTCCCGCACCTGCGGTGGAGGCGCTTCGTATTCCCTGCGGCGCTGTCTCGATAAAGGGTGAGACTCTGGCCAACACCGCTCTCTTCACAAGGGGACACGAGGTGGACACTCACGTACGGGGGGGGGCGGGGGCGGGGGGGACACGCACGCACAAGTCGACACTTGCACCGAGAGATGCGTCCGTGCCTGTCCGTTGCTCGCCAAGCTGCATGGGCTTCTGGTTTGCTGAACGAATGCAGCGTTCAATTTTGATTCAAAGCTCTCGTGACCGCAATAATTCATATTCTTAGCTCTTTCGGTAAAGTCACGTTGAAGGGAAACAATAAAATAATAAAATATGTATAAAACAATAAAAATTCTCACGACGTTCCGACCATAACACACCTGATGACGACCGTTTGTGTTATGGTCGAAACGCCGTGAGAATTTTTTTTTATTGTTTTATATATTTTATTATTTTATTGTTTCCCTTCAACGTGACTTTACCGAAAGAGCTAAGAATACGAATGCAGCGTTATAAGGTTCGCGCTCATTTGCACGCAAAGTGCTTGCCACAAATGGACCACAATACCTGGCTGATCTCATCAAGGAGCGTAAACCATCACACAAACCTCCAGGCGTCCTCACAGTGGCTTTTGGCTAGCAATTAAACAAAGACGGTCACTGCGTCGCGCTTGTGCGGCCATGTGGAAGGCTCTTCCTTCCTGTATCAGGAAGTCACTGGAGCTGTGCAATTCTAAATCTAAAGTGAAAACTAATTTCTCCAGAACTGCTTGTTGTGTTTCGTTTGTTGTCCTTCCCACCTCTGATGAGCACAGTTGGCTGCGTATGGTGCGAAAGAAGTTCAAAATACATGCATACAGACACGTATACAAGTGGACATGCACAGACAAGCGGATACACATATTTAATGCTGTGCGAGCACATATGCCACGACTTTTTTTTGTTTGTCTTGCAGACAGATGCGAATGTATTCGGTCCGAACTCATGTATAGCCATGTTTCCATCTTTCTTATCTCCGCACATGTAAGGTTTATATCACATGTAAGGTTTATATCACATGTAAGGTTTATATCACATGGAAGGTTTATATCACATGGAAGTGCCTGCCCTCTCGTTATTGCTTCAATAAATGCAATTCGTTAGCACATGTAGTTAATCATTTAATTACAATTATTATTATTATTTAGCCATCGTTACGTAAAAAAATGCGAATCTACAGGTTTCGTAATTGTGGTGTGCGACAGAGCATCTAGTGCTGCATGTGAATGCTACTATTAAGATGACGTAGTTTGAGATAATGCAGTGGGTAAGCATCTTTACAGGCATTGCATTTATGGACTCTCTGGGTCAACGCGCACTGTCTATCGTCACACCAAACTATGTCTTACGATATTTAGGATTCAGTTGTAAACACCACCAGGCTCCATTAGCCAAACTTAGGCAACTTCATCGAAGATTCCCAAGAGGTAGCGGGAGAAATGATGCAAGCTGGCTCGATTCGCTGCCCTGTTAAATCACTCTTGCTGCGCCCATCCGTCGATATTCTGTTATGAAAACTACATTTGTTTTCACAGTAGTCTAGCATGCAGTGCATATGTTATTTTATCTCTATGATTTGCTGCGTTGGAACGATAAAAATCACACGTGAATTTTTTTTCATTTTTTTAACTAGCACATACTGGTATTACATAACTTTAAACACAACACGAATGTTGAATGAACCGAACATGCTCTTAAGTCAGTTACAGAGCGCGTGTGCACATTAGCTACATTTTCTGCACATTAGTTGTTGCATTCCTGCACCGATATTTGGCATAGCGGGCTTAATAATGTGTCACGCAACGTGCGTGCAAGCAGGGTCAGGTTTGACGTTCATCGATATGAAAAGCTGTCACTTAAGTGATAAGCCCAAGAATGCAAGCTGGTCTCAGGGAACATTCTATTGCAGTTCCTCCTGATATTTTTTTTCCTCTCTCGAAAACTGTACATTTCAGACTTCAGAATTTCTCACCAGGCACACATACCATGGGAGAGGCTCATTTTATCGTGAGAACATCAGGCTTCCGATGCCAGGGACTCTTTTGTACAAGTAAACACGAAGCAACGTTACGATCGCGTACACGTAAGCGCAAGAAAGAGGGGTGTTTTGTCAGAGGCTATCACAATTAAGTGTCCTTTGATCACACAAACCAGGAATGTGCACTCCAGAGCGATGCTGATGAAGATGTCAAAAGTCGCATGCCCATACCTTTATTTGGTGTCCGAGACGCAGTTGCATTTGTCATTATTCCTATTCCACGCTTTTCCACGGTTTTACAGTTTTAATGATTTTTTTTCATCTTTCACTGCATTGTAGAAATTGCGAAGGACGGAATATAAGATACAAGTCGTGCAGCAACAACGTAAGTTTTCAAAAACGTGTATGTGTTTCGGATTTGCGTAAGTTGTGGGGACATTACGTCTCGATGTTGTCCGCTCACGCCTGAAATGGTGCCCTTTCAAGCTTTGCTTTGTGGCACCGTCCGGTTGCAGCAGAACTGTCGTGGCTGTACAGATGTGGGGTAGGGTTTGGCATGGAAAGGCTAACCGGGTCGTGGCTGCAATTAGGCCTTAAAAGGTACAATGTTGGGCAGAATACAATGCTTTATATTTTGATATTACATGCGGTGGCAGAGTGCTCAAATCACAATCAGAAGGTCAGCATTTAAAATCCTGCTCAAGGGTTGACTTAGTCAATCACCCCTCCAGGATCAACAAAGGAGTATCACTCTTTGATAAGTCACCGGTCACTGTTGCACAAATGGAAAATTAAAAGCCCTCCAGTGTGCGAATGCGGTCATCCAGAACAGACCGTACAACACATAACGACGCAATACCCCAAACCACAAGTACGATACCACTGCGCTGCTCCTGACGTCTGGCTTGACCGCCCGAATGCCAAAATTGTTAGTCGTTGCTCTGCGTCCACACCGGCCGCGCGAAAGAAGAAACGGGAGAAGCGTTCACGTTTTGCCGTGGGGTGTGGGTGCAAAAATCCCCTCCCAGGACTGCCCCGCGGAGTCCGGGGACTTCCGCGCCCAGCAGTGCTCGGCTCACAACGACGTGCGCTACCAGGGCCGCTCCCACGAGTGGGTGGCCGCCGGCGGCGACCCCGGGCGGCCGTGCGCCCTGACGTGTGCCGCGCGGGGGTCGCCCCTGCTGATCGTGGAGCTGGCTCCCAAGGTGCTCGACGGCACCCGGTGCCGCCCCGGCTCGCTCGACATGTGCATCAGCGGAGTGTGCCAGGTGAGGGAGTGTTTCCTGGCACGCGTGCGCGCGCTTCCTGCCTTTGCCGGGTTTGCCCGTCCCCTTTGTTTGCCGGATCGTCGTGCGCTCCCGTGTGAGTCCGCGGCATTTTTTTGCGCGGTTGCCTTCTGCCGTCGCGTTGGCTTTTGGCGGTTGTCGCCGTACCCCTCCGCGGTGAGTTTTTTTTTAAATCTCTTCGGGGCATGACGGTGTCCGACATTGCGCTCCACATGCGGGAAGCCTCTTCAGTATCTTCAGCTCACCAACACGGGGAGTGAAACAGCGGAAGGCGACGTTGCGGAGTTTGGCAACATCATCAGCGTCGTAAGCCGTCATCATGCTCGTCCGCGCCACAGAACGAGGTTTCCTGCTTTCAAGAGGCAGGATATGAAAGCAGCTGCCATTGTTAAAGGAGTCCGAGTAATCGACCACAAAAAAAGTAGTCAATTATGTTGACTTAATAAATCAGCATGATTAACTCATTGTCCAAGATCTATTTCATACAATAGTGTATTAAATATTACCCTGTCTTTTTTTAAGTCAACAGAATAGCCCAATAACGCATGTTGAAATGTCACATTCTCATCAGCATTCTGCGTTTCAGTGCGTAATCCTCACATGGATTGTACGTGTGAATTTATTATCGCATAAACATGCATACGCGTGCTTCACTGCTGTCATCGTAGAACACAGACACGTTTTTCCCATCTCGCTCGACATTAAAAATCTTAATGTATTCTATTCTTTGCTGGTAATCCACATTACATGGGATGGCATATTCCCAAGAACAAAATACACGGTCCACTCTTCAGATTCCTCAAGAGGATTTTATCTTTCATAAGGAATTGCGGTTGATCTATGAGAGTTTAGTTGGCTGGAATTCACATGTGCGGATTTAGGTGGTTAGCGTTAAAAGAGGGTGTACCAACCTCTAGATATTTCAAAAGAATAATGTGCAATGTGGTGGGATTATTCAGAATCAAAAGAGTTCTTTGCCAGCAAAATGAACTTGTGCTCCCCAAGTGGGCGGCTTCCACCCACGCCCCGCTGTGTGCTATTGCAGGTATATATATCCATCGGTGAGATAGATATGTGATTGTTGGAAGAGAATACCGTATTGCATATCCCAGACCCCAAAGTGTAAATGTTTTCTTTGCCCCAGGGCATTAATGTACGCGCACATTGCACGCGCTTGTTATATCTTTATCAGAATTGTAAACAGCGTTGAGAAAATAGTTTTCTACTGAAGTGTTTTCCTCTGAAGGATGTTGTTCTAAGCCTGCGATGGCTTGTCCTCAAATTGTGCTCGCAATCGCGGTGCCGTTTTTCGAATTGTATCGCTTGGGTTTAAATGGACCTCAAAATAAATGAAATCTGGGGCAGCTCCACGCGGCATGTAATTCCACGAGACGTTGACAAATCATTCTGGTCACTTCATAAATGTGATGTTCAATAAACGGAATTGGAGGTGACCGCCAGGGCAGTAGCAGCAGCGGGTACGCATTCCGCCCGTTCCATGCACGACTTGTACAGCAACCTCACGTGCATAAACACTTTTTGGGTCAGATAAAGAGCCCTGATGCCTCTTGCACGGACAGCCGGAGAGAGAGAGACAGTCGCCTGAGTATTACAACTGCCCAACCCCCACGTCGGTCAGAGAGAAAGAAAACACACCACCTTAAAAGCGTGTAGTGCATTTGTCCCCAGAATGCTCCCCCGGCAGTCTATCGTCTGGCGTCTACTGTCTGATGGGGGGCGGCGGGTGGGGGGAGGGTGAAATGAGGTTAAAAAAACGCCATGTTCAGGTCTAAGACTCTGGAATGCTCCAGGCCATAGGCGGATGCCACAAAATGACAATCCTCATGTCTGTGGCTGTGAAATTAAGTCCCTAAAGATTATTTCGTGATATCACAAAGCTCCAGAGAGACCTTACATCAGTGGGGGGAGGGTTTCTTTCTGGAAGAGTTAGTACAGTGGTAGTTTTTGTGCATTTTTTTTCGACAGCGGGCTGAATTAAAATATAGAAATCTTACACTGTGGCAAGATGGTACTGGATTATAAGAAAACAGAATGTGCCACCAGCTCCCCGTCCAAATCTGTCTTGTTAAGGCATGTCTTCGCACATTCTGATGGCAATTGCTGTCGACAAGATGTAGACCATTTTAAGTTTTAAGCATTGCCTGCAATATGTAGGAATGACTACTTTACATAACTATAATCATTAGCAATTATCAATCCACTGCTGGATAAAGGTCTCCCCCAGCTATTCCCATCTGTCGTGGGTCCTGCAATGCAGAAAGCCATCTCTCACCTGCCCACGAACCAATTCCATCACTCCATCTCCATGGGAGCCATTCTTTATCTGCCACTCCAACTTTAGTTTAACATGTCGATTTTCGCGACCAATGTCATCCATAATTAGTTATGGATGATAGTTGGCTAGTGGTGGTGGCGGGTTTTGACGACACATTTATGTATTTATGCGATCTAACCCAAAAAATCTCTATTATGGACTCCAACGTTAGTTTCGACCAACCACCCTTCCAGCGGCTTGTCCAGCCCAAGCCCAGTTACGTTTCACGAACGCCTAAATGACTATTGCACCATCATTATTTGTCTGCTTGGTTGCACAATTTCTCTCGCCTTTGCTACGTTTCCGCCAAATCCCTAAATATTTCGGGAACGTTGTGCATTTGGCTAATTTATAGCATTAGCAGTTGTAAACAACAAAAAAACACGGATGGCACACGCACACACGTGAGGTTATTAAAGTCTGAACGAGATTGGCTCCCGATGCTAAATTGTGAGAAATTTGTTTGGCCATTGTGGCAGTTTGTCCGCGGAGTGGCAGTTAATCAATAGGAGCCTGGGGAGGTACAGACCACTTAACACGGTTTCTTTTGTGTAGTTGTTTGAAGGACACTTCGCTCAACAGTCGTGCATTGTTCGCACTTCTATTCACAATATTCATCAGCGCTGTCAATGCTGGTCACCGATGATGTGATGACTCGTGTTCAAACTAGCCGGGATGCAATTGGCCTTTCATATTTTGCAGTCGCCGCGCTTTTGGTGATTCTGATTGTGTCATTGGAATCCTCGAATTTGACACTTGCATTTCCAAGGCCTCGCAGCCTTGTCTTACACCATGTTGCCATTGTCAAGTCTGGCATTCAACTTTAATGCTGAAGTGCACGAAATCTGTGCTGAAGGGTGTTGCATTTTTATTGGATCCTTCCTTTCTTTTTCATTTATATTGCAGGCACGCAAAAAAAAATCCTGGAATTGCTTTTAACTTCAACAATTCGCAGAATGAAATGCAAAAATACGCCAGATTTTTTTGCATTAAAATTAAAGTGAATTCTGCCCTCAATTTTGTTTCATCTTACATGTGTGTAACATCATCACGACTTGACATATTTTCCTACCACATGGTACAGTTAGCAAAATATCACAACAATATGGGCCAACAGTAGATGTTTTTCTGAGAATTTTGTGGTGCCATAATTCGTTATTTGGCCTCTAACTCAAGCACGCTTGTGGAAAGCTCTCCGCTGCAAACTTAACCCGTGCGAAAAAATGATCTTGCATCTTAGAAAAAGTGTGCATATAAGCATAACTCAGTTCTGTGTCTCCACATACACGTACAACAAATGTTTAGTCTATCAACGGTCGATTGGCTTTCCAGAACAAAAGTATCAAGCAGCACTTGTTTAACAAGACTGGCTGAACTGATGAGACCTAGGATGTCGAAATCAGTCCCAGAGCTTGCTCGCTTAAATAAACGCTGCTGGATTATATTGGTCTGGAAAGCGAGATACGCCGATGAGCTCAACTGTAACGTATTTCTACGTGGAGACACACGAAACAGAGTGCCTGCTTCTATATGCTTTTACACACAGTGTGTCCCACCCAAAAACACGGCCAGTGGGAGTTATGCGTGGGGAGGCTGCTGCTGCTGCTGCTGCTTGAGTCTGAAAACCGCTGAACAGTTGCTGTACACGGGCCGTTTGCATTGAATGACCCCCCCCGTGTCTTTCCCTTCCCCTGCCAGCACGTGGGGTGTGACCACCAGTTGGGCAGCCAAGCCAAGGATGACAACTGTGGAGTATGCGGCGGCAACGGCACCACGTGCCGCCTCGTGAGAGGACAGACGAGGCCGCAGCTGTCTTCTTCCGACAAACGTATGTTTCACGATCACGGACAGCTCGCTTGTGCAATGACCATCGACTCTTGTCTCAACCATCTTGCAAGGAAACAAAATCAAGCACTAGGTTAGCCATTGGCTTGGATGATAAGCCGCTACTATCTGGTCTGATTGTAAAGACATAAATGCTTGTCAGAGTAAAGATGAAGGCGCATGGTTGAGATGTTTACAGGAAATGATTCTGCTGTTACTCTTGACTAGGGCTCCTCTGTTTTTTGTGTATACCAAAAACAACTGAAAAATATAATTTCTTCCAAATGTCTATGCGTCAAAAATGTATATATTTTTTATTGTTTTCTAATGACATTGGTCACGTAAATAACAATATACCATGTTGTATTATATCTGTAACATTACATTTTGTTAATATTTCACTTCCTTAATCTGTGTTTTTTTTATCTAGCGGAGGAAACGATCATCACCATGCCATATGGAAGCCGACACGTGAAAATCACCAACAAAGGCCCCAATCACCTCTGTATGTTTCACTGCGCAGTACACGATACATATAATCGCGACACGCATACTACAGCCTAACTGTATATGCCATCATGTAGCAGATACATGTTTATTGCTTACGCATGCTTTTGCCGGTAGGCCTCCACTAGAGGAAGCTCTAGAGAGCCTCCTCCAGAGGGTACTTGGCCTTTTCGTCCATGCTGGCCAAATGTCTCGGAAGAGGTGGGGGTACCCGTACGTCACCCCACCACACACAAACCTGCCGACTGAATAACTGGTGCACTCATCAAGGAGCATGAACCATCAGGCAAATTCCCGTCATCATCGCAGCAGTGGCTTTTGGCGAACCATCGAACAAAAAGCCGGTCACTGCTATCGCGAACTTTTCAGATGCGCGTCTGTGGCCATCTGGAACGCTATCCCGTCCGACATTAGGAAGTCACTGGAGCTATGCACTTTTAAATCTAAATTGAAAAGTCATTTCTCTCGAAGTGCTTGTTGTGTTTCATTTGTTGTCCTTCCCACGCATCTCCGGTTAGCTACATACGGTGCGAAAGAAGTTCAACATGCAAACTTACATTTTTACTTCTGGGTGGACAGATGCGAGGGTATTTGATAAATGAGCCCCATTGTTTAAACTGCATTGCCGGGAGATCGAATCGATCTGCCAGTCCACTTTGACAACATCCTCAACTTGACCATACTCTATACCACATGTATAAAGTTTTCAGTCACTGTATAAATAGGAGCAAGGAGTGAGTTGATATTCTTGGTTCTTTTGGTAAAGTCACGTAGAAGGGAAACAATAAAACAATACGTGACTTTACCGAAAGAACCAAGAATATGAATCCCTGCAGTCACGAAAGCTTTAAATCAAGAGTGAATTGATGTTTGAGATGCTTAAAACACACGTGAAGATGGCTAATTGAAGTTGTTGCTTTATCCTTAACATGACCTGGAGATGAAATTAACCCATTGAGACACGAAAAATTGCCTCTTTTTGCAAGGGTGACCTGGGTTACATCAAGTTGATCCAGGCCATGTGAATGAAATATCAGACAAATATTACAGCTAGCTATAATTCTGCTAAGGGACTCAGGAGCCTAATAAAATAAACACAAAACAGCAGGCACGGGCTTAGAACCATCAGAAAAAAAATTGCAGTAAAGTATTGAAAACGATGTATTTTTGTGTGTGTGTAAAACACCGAATACACATGAGGGTTTGCTTGAGAAGCAAGACGTAGGCTGGTGCCTGTGTTTTATGAGGTTCTGCAGGTATGGGCAAACCCCATTACAAAGTGTGGCAAAACACATTTGTCTTGAAAGCCGTTGAAATAAATCTATGCGGAATTTGTGACCCAAAGTTGGTAGGTTTGCACTCTTTGCACTAGCGGTTACCTTGCAGCACGGATTGTGAGGTGTTGACGTTGCCCAGGCTCTATTTACAACCGTTTTAGAACAGGTGTAACAACACTGCATAAAGATAACTTTACTTTTTGTGGTGCCAATGAATGAGAAAGTAACGCCTCTCATCTGTCTGTTCTGACAAAAAAACGCTTGGGTAGAATAGGGTCAGGCAGCCTGTCAGCTTTGCCGAGGCACTGGAGGTTGGGACTCAACTTGGGCCTGGGAACCCGCAGTACTCGGAATGGTGAATGTTGTAAGTGGGTTTACTCTCCAACACACCGGTGTGTGTGCTGATCTAGTAACGAATTGGAATGTTTTGTTTACGTGACGAACCTTACTAATTGGCTGTGTCGGGTGGTGGCGACACGTTCAAACCCTCGATTATGGATTATATTGGTCGCGAAAGCCTACGTGTTATACCGTTTGTTAATGTTTGCGTCAATCTATTCCTCTCCAACGTACGCAACCTTGGCTACCAATTATTTTCCCTTAGCTCTCTAAAAGAGCTTAGCCACAGTGGCCAATGATGGTGATGAGTTGTTTTTTTTTTCTCATACGGTCTGTTCCAATGCACTTCTGTCAACAGTTCACATTCTATTTGAACGTGGGGCAGCCGCAATGAAAGAACGTGTCTTGGCAAGCATGACTGCTGTGCCACTCAAGAGTGCTTGCCGCTGCCCACGCTGCTCACAGGCAATTTATGGCCACTAACCACGAGAAGGGATGCTGCCCTGGTGCAATGGTTAACACACTCGACTTGCAATCTGGAAGTCGCCGGTCCGATTCAGTCTCCAAGGCATTGCATTCGAAGCAATGGACAAAGTTTGCTTTTTATTCCCTCCCTCCCGCCTCTGTCCACCCAGAAATATAAATGGGGGGAAAACACAATTATTCGATCAGCGGGTCAGGTGGGAGAGGGAATAGTATGAGCACTCGGGTGGGTAGGGTATAGTGTGAGCACTCGCATTTTTTCCCTGACGTCTGGCTAGCACGGAAAAGTAGGCCAAATACTTTCTCGAGGGGCTCTCGAGAGGCCCCTCTATCTCGTCGAGTGGTACGAGCAGTGGCATGAGTAAGCCAATTTCAGGGCTGCACCTTTAACATTTACCAATCATCAGCCAACAGAGCGGTAACGTTTGCCAACTATTTTGCATGACCTGGGAGGGCAGTTGTAGAGAGCAAGACGCTGCAGGGGGTGCGGAACACGCACTGGCTGGATTGGTCCGGGACGGCGTTGCTCGCAAACTCCACTGCCGAGTTCTCGCTGCTGCATGACAAGGAGGTCCTCAAGATGAGCGGGCCGCTCACTGCGGACTTCACGATCAAAGTAAGCGGATGGGCTTGTGCGCTCTTACAGTCACCGTTCACTGGCCAGTTTGGTGGCCTTTAACCCTCTCCCCTTCTGACGACGTACACACGTGTTCGTCGTCGGAACGGAACCAGAAGGAAAAAAAGAAAGGCCATGTGGGAGGGCGTGTGGCACAGTGCGGTTGTGTCACTACAATTGCCTGCGGTGAGTACAGCGTCTTTAAAAACAACATCCGCTACGGCCCCTTAGAAAAATTAACGCTGAACCGCGTGCGCATTTTGAGATTCAGCGGTGAACGGGACCCAACCTGCAACTTGCAGACGTCTCGGAATTGGAAAGGGTTAAAAGGTAGCACAGCGACTAGATTGTTGGCACAATATTGTGCTAGGGTCGCCACTAGTACCTGGTTTTATCAGGATCGTCCTCTGAGGTAGATGTCCTGGGCAATCTGGGACATTAAAAGTCCGTGTTTTTTCACTTGCGTAACAATACACCACTCAAGATGATGCATTTACATGTAGTTCTCCCGTCTTCTGGTATTGTGAGATAGTCTAATTCCCAATTCATGGTACTGTTTTTTTTTGTACCTGTGTTGCTGCAGTTTTCATTGCATTATTGGTTTATTGTGAGAGCTCTCACACGCATTTTGTAAATATACTGTCTATGGCAAATGTACCAAAACGTGTTTATAGCCTTTTTTAGTAAATGTATTATGATTAAATCCCACAGTAGTTTATATGGATAATCACAATTTTTTCCAATATATGGTACACATTAACTTTGGAAAACTTTTTTTACATTAATTTTACAGCTTGTATTTACTTTGTTTATGCTGTACAGTATATTTGATACTTTTTTAATCCAGGCAGTCCACGTGTTTTTACAACGCAATGCTTCCCGGATACCCCATCGTAAATCGGATCCTATTTTCCCATAGACAGTAGAAGCAGTAGAAACATCACTTGCCGATGTGTTTTTCCCTTTATCACCTATATTTAAACGGGGGTTCATCGGTAAAAGTCCACAAACACACCTGAGAATAACAAAAGCTCTACGTCAAGTCACATTGGAATCTAGACCGACTGTTGAAATGCGTTGAGAGTCGTGTCAGAAGATGTGTTGTAAATCAAGTTTCTGCGTCGTAAGATCCACGGTGGAATTATATAAACGTCGTAAATGTGGATTGTCGTAAACCGGAGACCACCTCTATAACCTTTTTAAATACACCACTGGTCTATATTACGTACAAATATAAACTTATTTCTGCAGGTCGCAAATGGAGTCCCGTATCGTGAATTGCGGATTACGATGACGACAACGATGGTCATTGTAACATTTTGCTTTGAAATGGTAAAAAAAAAAAAGTGATTGTTACTATTTATAAAAAGAGGAGAGACTACCCTGCCAGAATCCCTCACTTTTTCCTCATGCCCGGGCCAGCACTGAAATCTTGAGGGGTTCCGTCTGTAAGCGATGCATTCCAGTACGGAAATTGATGGCAGCCACATTGGTTTTAACATTCCGTGGCACACTCACTGTTTTGTTTCCATCGTGAAATTAGACATGGGACGGCTACTACAATTTATTTTTTTGCACCCAACCCTTGACTTGCTTCCACCTAGATTTTATATCTGGCTTGCAAGGGATCGTTGCGTTTTGTTTTTCTTGAAAAGTGGACATTGCAAGCGGTTTCAAAGATTTTTTACCCCTTAAAAAAATAATGTTAAGTGTACACCAGTTGTATATTTTCAAATGCAGCCCTATCCGATGCTTGATCATAGTTTTAGTTTCAGAAAATTTGTGGAAATATTTTCATATGTAATAACGAGTACTTTAACAATAATACTGTGCATTCCTTTGATAAATTTTCACTATGATAAATTGCGTCCCAAAAAAGGTAAATGAAACAAAAAATAAACTATATCATGTGGTGGTGAAATCAGTTGGTCAAAGGAGCGCTTTTCAACTGAAACCGAGGAATCACCACCGCCTGAGGCTGGCTTGGAAAAAAATATGTGCAGGGGATGGGCATCGATGTTTATTCTATATTCTGACTTGTTAGCTCAGTTGGCAAGCCAACACAACCCGATGTTTGAATCGCTTATTATTCTTGTGAAATAAACTATAATCACCAATGAGCTCGTGTTGAATAAAGCGGACCTTATAGATTGTTAACCAATACAATACAGTGCATGCAAATACCGCGTACGTGTGTGCGTGTGGCGGTGCAGTGGTTAGCGCACTGCGCTATGAACCCAGCGACCCGAATTCTATTCCCCCTCATGGCCAACACCAGTCACGATTATCTGAACCAGCCCTGGGCCTACCCTAGGTCAACTCGGCCTCCCAATGAGTACCTGGTGCGGTGTGTAAACATTGCCACGAAGGAGACAAAACCGGCTGGCCATCGACCCACTCATGTGCCCTGCTGGCCTTCATAGGCGCCCGCTCACAGCTCTTGCCCCAAAAGTCTGTTGAGCCTTTACGGGGGTTCTTTGTCTTTGTGAGTGAGCGTGCCTACACAGCCACTCAGGAAAGACTCGGTCCTTCCAAATTGATTCCCCCTAGGCTGCGGGATCCTGTTTGGCAGTGTGCGGCGTGACTGACATGCTGTTTGTTTGCTCTTTGCCCCCCCCCCCCGCCCCCCCCAGAGCAGATTTGTGGGGCCTGGAGAGAGCTTGGTCCAGTTCTTCTTCTATCAGCCCCTCAGCCATCAGTGGCGTGAGACGGACTTCTTCCCATGCTCCGTAACCTGTGGCGGAGGTATGGCACCGACGTGTCTGTCACTCTTCCCGATGGGCAGCACCGTGATGGAATATATAAATACTCAACACATTCGTCGATGACACTGTCCTAAAGAGGAAAGACATATATAGTGGAGATCATTGTCTGAAGCATCGCTCTTCTGAGGCTGATGGAGAAGGACCATTGTCCTAAACGTCGCATATTACATATTCTTCGGGCAATGTTATGATGGATGTGTTAGTTTTTTTTTGTTATTTGTGCTTGTGCACCACTGCCAACGTGGCATCGCACACATATTATTGCAATAACATTTGTAATATAATGGTTGCGGAAGACAGCTATCACGGTAAAGTATTGAACCTTCTTCAGGAAAGAAAGTAAAATATTGCATGATTTGAGTTGTTCCCCTTTAAAAAAAAATGTTTTGGTGGACCCGCCTGTAAATTCTTCGTGGTTTGCTGATAAGTGCTAAGACACGCATTGTTTTATTTTATTTGTGACAGTTATTTTCATGTCGAAAACAAGGGAAACATTATGCTTTCATTTCCATCTTAAATTATGTTCAATTTAGCGCTGAATTCTTCGGAATATGATTCACTTTCTCCCCTGTATTTCAAAGAAAATGTGAGTGCGTATTATAATTCCCGAGGGTGTGTTTGTGTGTAATCCGATTTGTGTACAACCCGAGCGTAAGTTTGGGGTGCATCTTGCATGTATGTATGTTGAACTTCTTTCGCCACCGTACATATCCAACCGTGCTACTATTTTGGAGAGTCTTATGATCTAGAGAATGGGATAATTTGATGAGTTAGACTTTTTCATGAAGTGGAAAAGGAAAAAATAGCTGAAGTTTCAAGCAACTTGACTGTCATTGGCTTAAAAAATAATTAACCATGGGGTAAAGAGCACGTGTCTTCTTCAAGAAGCAGAAATGTAAATTGCTTTATAAACGGTATGTCTGTTGAACGTGATGGTTTTCACATTGCTTACAGACGTTGACACGGTGCTCGCTGTGTTCGTAATTTATTGAGTCAGTCTAATTCAGATGTTTTTTTTAATCATATGTGTTGTACGCTTTTGGAGGGACCCAAGGGGACAGTTCTGGATCTGTCTAGGAGGTTAATGTGATATTTTAGTATTAGAGATGAGTATCTTTCTCAAACACTGAGGCCAAGCTGTCCCTCCACTCAAGACAGCTTCATGAAATAGCTGTTCAGAGAAAGTATGCTGCATATGGGAAAAATAGTTGAGCATGTTTAATTCTATTGGTATGGCTGCGTACACAATGAAAACAAGAAATATAGAATTTTCAAGCGTACGTCTCGGTAAGGAACAAAAAGTGCTAACTGAACATTTAAGTACATGTTCATTTGTTGCACGGATGGTGCCGTTTAGCCAGTTGCCCGGCTATTTCGCAAGGGATATCCGTGGTGCGTGAGCACAGCAGGAACAAAACAAAGACAACAAACGTCAATGTTGTGGAGAACGAGTGCAGGGTCCGTCAGGGATATTGCACAACTAACAAACGGGATATTTAACAGTCGTTAAATGAAACATGCGCGACTCCAAAAAAACATTTCGCGTGTAATGTGAAAAGTTGGGTACAGGTGCTCGTCATGCATATGTATTTTAGCCTAACGGTGACATGAACACACGCAAATTGAAAAAGACAGCGCAAACACATGGGAGGAAAGAGAAAACCAGGAGAAGTTAGGTACAGCTGCAAGTATGCTCTGTGTTTTGGTTTAATAGGGAAGTAACGAGAGGGAGTGAAGGGAGGGAACCAAGCAACAGATGAGCCGACGCATTAAACTTGGAGATATTTTCATTTCACCAAAGTTTTAACGAATGGAATTTTTAGTTGGAATAAGGAGGCACTTCTGAGGCTGTGGGAGGGAGTTAAAGGAGCTAGAGGAGACTCGAACACACAAGCTCTGCACACACGTAAACGCATTTGCGAGGTTTCTCGACTGATAATACTGAAACTCATCCATTCACACCATAAAAAAGTAGTCTCCATATATGAGTCAATATACATTGGCTGATAACACAAATGAAGATACAGTTTTGAACAATGCCTAGGAAAGTATTGTTTTTACTGAAAAATGCATTTTGATTGCCACGTTTTAATTATAATTTGAATGTCTATGAACACCCAGGCTGATTAGTGGGGGCATCGTTGGATTGTAAAATTTGTAATTTAATTGTTTTTTCTTTATAATTCATTTGCACTCCCATGATGCCGATTCCTGACTTTCAGTGTACAGAACGTTTTTTGTTTTGCAGCATATTAAATATTTTAATCAATTGCACACCTACTGTAACGTATACATTCTTTTTTTTAACGAATTAAACACAGGTACCATGAAATAAAGAACGTTTTTAGGTCATAGCACATTTTCATACAAATTTAAGCCACTGACTTTTTTTTTGCAGGAGCAAATATGTTCCTTCTTCACATTCCTCTATGTTGTGCTGTTTCGAACGCCGGTGTTTTGGGTCCTCGGCCCTGCTATGGCCGCTTTTGTTTTCAACTCCGAAGCGTGTGGCCCTTTTGAGAAAAATTCGCGGCCCGAATATTTCCAATTCCATCGCCTAAAATGAACGGTAGTTTTTCGATGTGACATGCAGATTGATGTTTTTTTCTTTTCTTATTTTTTGAAATCTGAAACTTTTGCTCAAATAAAATAATCGGCAAAAGTTGAAGGAACCACCTCCTCTGCACCACCGTACATACCTTGCCCATTACCCATACAAGAGAAAAATATCGATGATATCTTTTGAAGGATTTACCGTGTTATCGTGGATTATAAGGAATTTTTTTTTTATACAGCGACCATCTACATACCTGGATGCCTATGGCTTAAATCCCGAGCACTGTGCGTCAGCGCCGCGGGCACATTCAATACAAGCTTGAGAGCAGGTGCAGCAACACAAAGGCTTTTACTTGCCCCGCGATTTTTGCATACTTTTTGCATTTTCCTCACCTCCGCAAGTGTTCCTATTGAAAGAGCAATCTTCTCGCGTCTATTAAGAGTGGGACAAAAAATGCTTTTTAAAAATTCGGTCTCAAGGTTCGCGTTTGTATGGTAAACACTATGCCACCATAGTCGAAGCTTTTGGAATGCATTAGTGCCATGACGGTGCTGAATTTCACACACGCGCATGTTAGCGCAGCCTTGACGGTGGGGGGGGGGGGGGGCGTGGTGGGAGGTGTTTTCCCCTGAATAATTTTTCTGAGTAAATAATTGGGAAATTATGCTGGATACATTTACTGACATTTTATACCCTTCGTGGATTCGTAGTCCCGAGAGTTGGAAGAGTTTTTTGTTTTCAAATTATTGAAATTAATGTTTGCCATTTTGAAAAAAAACTTTTGACCCTGACATTGCACACAGAGACTTGCCTTTTGGTCGAATATCTAACACTTAACCTCCACTTTGCAAAACATGGTGCGCTTTGGTAATGCCCCACATAAATTATCAGGTGGCCTGAAATATAACGGTTTGCCATGTTGAACTGACAAACTCGAAAGTTCACAGAACAATAAGGCTGTGCAGCCAAGAGTGTCAAAAAAGACAAACTCGTTGCTATTAAGTGTACATTGGGAGTAGGTTTGTAATGTCAAATGCATTCCTAATATATATGGCATCGTGGGGAATTTCTGCATAAATCAAAGAAAAACACACGGACGGAATTTGCAGGGCTGTATTTGATCGGCCCGTCGCTTGGAGATGGCCAAGAATATGCCCCTTGCGTTTCTATCAGGAGGCAATAAATGGTGGTGAATGTAAGGTTGTTCCCATAATAAATCAAGATTGAACAAGGGTCACCAGGGTGAAGGGCTTGGGGTCCGACCACCACACCGTCATTTGGGAGCGATCTAGAGTGTTGCTGTTTAAGTACGAGGATTTATGTTTCTGTTTTTTTCTTTTTTCCCCGAGCCGTGAAAGGCGCCTGGACATGTTAGGGCCACCCCAGCACGACCACCCAACAACCCCCTTACCCTCAGCGCTCCCTTGCCAATCGGCCCTACGCCCTGCCGCTCACACTTTACCCCTTCCCCCCCACCAAGCTCGCTCCTTCCTCCCTTGCAGTGCACAATAACAGATTTTGATGGCCGTGTCGCCGAGCGTAGGTCTACGAATGAACTTCAGCCCTTGCCGTTGCACAGGCTACCAGCTGACCTCGGCCGAGTGTGTGGACGTGCGCTTGGGCCGCGTGGTGGCTGACCAGTACTGCCACTACTACCCGGAGAACAAGAAACCCAAGCCCATTCTGCGGGAGTGCAACATGGAGCCCTGCCCAGCCAGGTTCTGGGAAATGTTGCGCATATCTCCATTCACGGCTGCCATGGAAAGGGCCGCTGTGCATTTCGGGCAATGACCCTTCGGCCACGGCAGAGAGTTGCCAAAGCAGAGAGATGCTGAAGCAGAAAGATGCCAATGCAGAAAGATGGCAAGGCAGGGAGATGCCGTGAAGGAGTGCCACTGCCCGAAACGTCACCTGTTGCGTGTCGTTTCATTTTAGGGCAGTTTTATTCTCGAATTATTATTTTTGTTACGGTTGCTTTTCCACCACTGCCAATGTTAAATGAATCAACAGTAACTGATATACATGTACAGTATATTTGTGTTTGTGTATGGCGGCATGTGACTCATACGATTGCCCCACACATGCTCCGCATTCCGCAGTGCCGTACATCTCACCGCACACACGGTTCCAAACGTTTATTGGATGTGAATGTACGTGTCGAGGACCGTCTGGCTTATTTATTTTCTCTCCTTTTTTTTTCCCCACAGTGATGGTTACAAACAGATAATGTCCTACGACCACTTTCAACCAATCCCACGGTATGCACGTTTCAGTATGTAATTGTCCTTGTGAGATTAGTGCCAGGTTTAGGACAAGAGACGAATTTGAGGTTTTGAATGAATTGGACGGAGAAAACAAATAGGGCTTTTGTCAGCCATCATTTGACTTCCGAGCTGTCACTTAAGTAAGGGCAGTGTGAGAATGAATTTGAATTTCAATGCATATTCTGTATCGTATATTACGCATTTGCATGACCCCTGCAGCCACTAGAGCCACTATATTCACCACACTATATATGAAAAGATTCTCGAATAAATCCATTGCAATGCTAGAGTGGTACATTCTTACACTCCGAGTTAATATTACTCTGTAGTGGCATATGTTCGAGCAGCATAAAGGGCTGAATGAGAGAGAGAGCTGTAAGCCAGTGTTCTTCACTAATTTTCAGAGGGGGACCACTTTCGCTGATAAGACATCAGTGTGAGGTCCGCCACCCATTTTAAACCATTGGGGTTTGACAGCATGATGATGATGGTTGGGGGGGGGGGGCTGTTTTCACCCTTTGTGTATTGTTGGGGGCCGCACGTCAGGGGCTGCACTAAAGGCCACCAGGGGCAGCTATATGGTCCTCCAGGCCTTGTAATTAAGAACAGTGCTATAAGCGCATGTGTACATACGTACACATGCACGTATGTGAGTACACGTGCCCGCGTGTCTGCTGGTGCAGCTGGGATGGAGGTCCGTGGACCACCTGCTCGAGCTCGTGCGGAGGAGGGCTTCAGAGCCGCACGGTGGCGTGCGTGGAGGAGGATCTCCACAGCATCCTGCACCCTGCCGAGGACTGGAAGTGCATGTACACGCTGAGGCCTGTCGCGTCCCAGCCGTGCAACCTCTTTGACTGCCCGCGGTGGCTTGCCCAGGAGTGGTCTTCGGTAAGCCCGCACCTCTAATTAGCACGGTTGGCTACGTACGGTGCGGAGAGAAGTTCAACGTGCAAGCAGCCTCTACCCGCGCCGCACGTTCGCTGCCCCGACTGCGTGCGTGTACGCATTGCACAATTGCGCTCTTGTGCTTGACCTTGCACAGCCCAATTGTGATTCATGATGGGTTTTTGGGGTTAGGCCGTGGAATGATCTGCCCAAATGTGTGTGGTTCAGACCCTCCACCGGCCGACACAGCCAAACAAATTTAAATTGGAACGCGTGGAAGCTTTCTATGTGTCAAGTATTATTGTTTCAGCTCGCTGGTAAGTTGAAGACCAAATCTCACAACGAAGCTTAGCAATTAGATTCTATAGTATGTTCCACTTATAGTTTGTTATTTATTCTATTTGTGTAGTTGCTGAGCTGTGTTTCAAATTTTCTGATTAATCCCAAAACTGTTAAAATTTGGTAGATTATTTTTTCCGCCTGAGGACGACCGCTTGTGTTGCGATCGAAATGTCGTGATATATTATTTTTGGTTTTATTTTTATTTTTTCTATCTATGTGACTTTACCGAAAGAACCAAAGAGTAGGGATACAATAGTTTGGATCATTTAAAAAAACACCGTCTGGAATTTTTCGGAATATGCGACATCGCGGGAAGTGACGTCGCTCTCTTTGACTTCATGCGCGCTCTTATTTAAGGCAAAGCGGCGTCACGTGGCATCGGGCGATGTCACTTTCACGCACAAAAGCGCGTAAAATATTATACAATGTATATGATTGGAAAATCCTCAAAAAGATCCAACAATGTGCTCAAAAAGTAAAAAATCTAAACACTTCTAATATGAAACTCATCCCGAAGCAGTTACAAATACATGTACTGTGCACAGCTCTCTAACGTGCTTTTGGGTTGTAGTACATGTTGTTTGGCATGATATCCGATCTTTCGCTCCACGTGCTGAGAGTTGAAGAAGCTCGCAACCATGTGGAGGGAAACATTGGACATTGTGCAGAACAATATGCGGTACGACCAAAGAGCACAGAGAGCTAAACACCACAACTGCATAACCCTGTGTAGTTATATACGTGTGTGTGTAGTCTAGAAAAAAAACCTCATTGGCTCTGACTTCTTAAAATAGGGAATTGATGATGCTAATCGGCATTGTTATCATCAGCTGTTCTAATTCAATACTCTCTGAAGCCCTCCCAATGCCAAGGCACTGATTAATTAAAAAGATAATGGAATGTAATCGAAATTATTTTTTCTATATCTCATATTAATTTTTACACATCTCAATAAATCAGTCAACTCCCTTTATTTAGCAGCAGATGAGAGCCCCCTTCGCCGACCAAGGGAATGTGAGATTTCCACTGCTGGCTCTGGGCCACCAATGCAGATGAGCTCATTTGAGCAGCGAGACGCCCCGACCGTTTTGGCCAATTGAGATGAAACAAGAAGAGCTGAGATAAAATACATACTCACCATCTTAATCAGCTTTGATCTATCCACTGCTGGATGAAGGCCTCTCCAAGCCATCGCCACCTATCAGGGTCCCGCAATGTTACAATCCAGCGAGCAACTCTACACGTGCTTATTACTTTGCTCCATCTTACGCTGTGGATGTCCTCTCGGGCGCATTCCCTCCCTTGGCTGGCACTCAGTTGTTAGTCTCGATCATTGGCCGCGGATGTGTCCTGCCCAAGCCCAGTGGATTTTATTGACAGCCACTCTGATATCTTGAACCTGCATGTGGCTCTCTCATTCTGTCTCAGAATGTGTATTCACGTCTCTAAATGCAATTCAAAGGCACACATCTCCCCACGCTTCCTTGTGCACTTTCAGTTTTTTGTTGTTAGTCCCGACCATCGGCCTGCATCCCTGCGAGGGTAAAATACAGGAAGACTAAGATTCACAACACTTCTGCCACTGTGCAGCTCGCTCTCTGTTGTGTTTTTTTTTGGGTTTGGGGGGCAGGAGGGTAGGGAGGGCTTGTTTCCGCGTTGTTGTTCGGCATGACGTCCCGACGTTTTTTCGCCCCGCACGCCGGGAGCTCCTTCCCGTTGCTGAAAGTGTCGTCACGCCGAGCAACGAGCGACACGGGTTTTCAGCTCAGAAGCACACCCGCCAGAGTTGAATCACGCGATGGCTTTGGCTGCGCCGGTGAGAACAGCTGCGCCCCTCCGGTGCGGCGAGTGCAGTGCACCGCGACGTGCGGCCGCGGCCTCCGCTACCGAGTGGTTTTGTGCATGGACTACCGGGGCCACCATGCCGGTGGCTGCAACCCCAAGATCAAACCTCACATCAAGGAGGAGTGCATCGTTCCTGTCCCATGCTACAAGATAAAAGGTCAGTGTGTTGCTCGCGCTAGAAAAAAAAAAACCCTTTCTGTGCACTGCATTTGGGGTTGAGCAGAAGATTAGGCTGTAAGTAATTTGCCTTTGTTATAATTATCACTAACAATGTGGATGCCTGCCGCGGCGTAATGGTTAGCACACTGGACTTCCGGTGGTAGCTGTTATGGCCGGTGAAACATTGGTGCATATTCTTTGGGTCTTTCGGTAAAGTCACTTAGAAAGGCTCAAAGATCTACTTGACTTTACCGAAAGACCCAAAGAATATTAATTCCTGCAGTCACGAAAGCTTTAAGTCAACATTGGTCCAAGTTTATGAAATCTCCCTGGCGTCTGTGCCCCCACCAGTATAAATGGGTACACCACAGCTAGTCGACTGGCAGAGGTCACGTGTTGGTGAGGTCAAGTGTGGGTGCTCCCACCTCTTCGAAGTTGTCTGATCATCGTGGCAGAGTGGAGGCCTTTTTGCCCGAAATGGTGTGAGCCAGCAGTTGGAGGCTGCACCTTTACCTTTTACCTTAATCTCCTTTATCCATAAAAAGCCTCACTCATTACTCATTGACAGTCACTGCATCGCTTCGCTTTCAGATGCGCTTCTGTGGCCATCTGGACCGCTCTCCCTTCCGGGATTAGGAAGCCACTGGAGCTATCCACTTTAAAATCTCGATTGAAAAGTAATTTCTTTAGAATTCCTTTTTGCGCTTAGTTTGTTGTCCTTTCCCCGCACCTCCGATTAGAATTTCAACATACAGACGTACAATTGTCCGGACATATTTGTGATGGTTATACAATGCCTCATGATGTATTTATTTTTTGCATGCGATGATGCGAATGCACCAGAGCAAACCCACGCATGTGTAGACATAGCGCTCGAATTTCTGTACAGATTTCAGCAAATTACTTACTGTATCGTCTACTGACCCAGCTTGCAACCTGACACATGGGGTTTCCCCTGCACATGACAACGATCGCAACATCCACGCAAACAGAAGGACTTTGGAGCTGGGGGTCGATGGACCAACGCAAACATCGATCCCAGCTCCAAAGTGCTGGATTACAAATAAGTAATACTATCGACAATACCTTCAACAGGGCTCCTTTGTTGCTGGCCGCTTAGCTCACGAAACGTGATAAAAAAACGTATATGCTGCCTTATACATGAAAGAGAAATCCCCATAATTTGCTCGTTTGTCAAATGGTCATTGCCTGAAACTTTAGTTGATTCAATGTTTTTCACTTTTAACCATGTTTTTTTGTTGTTCTTCTGATGGCGACAGGAGTAAAGCATTTTAATCTCGTGCTTCCACACATGCGTAATTTATTTTAAAAATGAGGGCTTATTTTAATTGTAAAATGATCCTTTCCCTCCTGATTAGCAGTCAACGTTACATGTATTGCACTCACGAATATTCACAAAAACATCTCTTGTGAGCATGTTTATCTTACTGTAGTTAATTTTTTTCTCTCTCCAAATCCCTTAATAACAATTAGATAACTCATATTATTCACAATGCTGGCCACATGTCGTCCAGTCCATTGCATGATTAGCAGCTTCCTCTGCAGGTAATATTTGCCCATGCATTATATAAAAAAAATACATTGCTCACAATATGTCAGTCATAGGGGTTTTTTGACCATACTTCATCATCCTGGTCAGAATGGGCTGGTGAAGTGGGGGCTAAGACTGGTTCTTTATTGCTTTACATTAATGTTGCTCATTGCGGGGAATCGAACAGAGGTTGCTGGGTTTACAGCGCAGGGCGCTTACCACTGCGCCCAGGGGCGGAGCCAGGATTTCAGGCCGGGGTGACATTCAACAAATGTTAATTTCAAGAATGATTATAGAGAGTCAGGCTGTTGAACTAGACGCCATCGGTTGGCGACACACTCTGACAATGCAGTTGCACGGAGTCCACCAGACCGAGTGTCGTACACTTATACGCAGAATGTCACCCCTGTCACCCCCCCCTGGCACCGCCTCCACTAACATATCAGTGACTTTTCTTATATCTGTTTAGCAGTTGTTTACGACAAAGTTCAGTTACATCTCTTGGTTTGTTTTTATTGACCTATGCAGAGATATATATATATTTTAATTTGAAGTCAAATTAAAAAAATTATAACAACCCCAAAACATTTTTGAGCTCAAATAAACAAAAAAATCATCAACACATTCATCAACGACCCCCACCTTAAATGGGAAACATACACAGTGCTGTAATAGGTGACGTTGTGGGCAATGGGCCTTCATCATAGCACATAGATTGTCTGAAACATTGCCTTAAATATACCACCGGGCAGTGGAGTGTCAATCGGAAATGTAACGTCAAATATGTCTTGGTTTGTGCAGAAAAACTTCCAGTGGAAGCTAAGCTGCCGTGGCTAAAGCAAGCACAGGGCCTCCAGGAGGAAGCGGAGACGGAGGTCTCGGAAGAACCAATGTAAGTTTTAAACAAACCTTAAAAATAATATTAACTCGAGTACTGACGCAATATTTTCGCTCAACAAATAAACACGAAACATTTTTCGTTTTTTTTTTTTCCCCCAGAACTCTGCAAGTGGATTAGATGACTGGCAAATCTTTATTTTAGACAAATAATAAATAAAGCAGATGTTGTGGTTTGTGGTGAATGCAATGAGGCGTTATGTGGCCAAGTCGGAAAATGGCATATGTTAGTGTGTATGAAAGCTGTATTCCATAGATTGCTTTAATAAATAATGACATAATCACATCGGTCTGTTCTTTTGCACAACTTTAATAAAAAAAATCTACAACCCTTTGTCAATCCACTGCTGAGTCAAGGTTTCCTCACAATGTGTTGACCATAGGAGTTGTTTGACCATACTTCGCCCCAGTTTTCAGCATGACTTGATTAATTGTGGTGTACTAGGATAATGAAAATATGACTTGCCACTGATGTTAGTCATGGCAGGTAATCAAACTCAGGTCACGGGGTTCCTAGCGTGGTGATGTAACCGCTGTGCCATCACATCATTAGGTAGTTGCCATATATAATGATGTTTTTGAGCAATAGTTAAGTTAATTTAAGTGATAGAAACAATGATGGCTTAGCCTACAAAAAAAGCGAATTTCGTTCTGAAAATTGGGAAAACGGTTATTTTTTGACATCGCTTTAACTTACCTTTTAGCACTGTTAAGCAAAAGAAATTGGGGAAAATGGAAGGAAAATGAAAAAAACAGTATCTGCAGTGGGTTACAACAGTGTTTTGTTAACCTGGCTCCTGGAAGCTACATACATAAACCACTCTCCGGAACGGCTACATGCGCTTCCAAAAATAACATTGTACGTGAGCAAGAGTCCACGCTGTTACTGAGGCCGGGAAAAGGACAATAAAGCACATGATTGGTGCCAGGGACTCGCTGGTTTGTGCCAGAAGGTGTTTGTGAAACCCCGCGACGAGATATTTTATTTCACGTGAAAATGTGCCGCGTTTAAAAAGTCTTCTTTTTTTTTGCACGGATAAACGTTGCACTCTGCATGTGAATGTACGGCATAAAGAGCTCTTTGTTTCACTCCTGAAAGAAAGTCACCTATTGCCAACAATCTGTCTCGCCAAAAAGTAAGCATCTGTTGCACACAATTTTGGTTTGTGAGGATTTGTACAGAATCATAGCAAGCTTCCTTCAAACAATTGCATTTAAATTGGGGCAAAGAAGCAAATCTAAATATATTGTCTCTTTGTTCAAATACGTATCGATAGAAATATTAAGATGTTTAACAAAAATTCGGCTAGTTTGCTCAGTGGTAGAGTTGGAAGGTTGCAAGTTCAAATCCTGGTTGAGGGTTGACTCGGCTCATCATCCCCTCCGTGGCCAATAAAATAGATACCACATTGTGGGGTCGTCAACACTGGTGGCTGTCCGTTTGATATACTGTGCCATACTATAGGAATTAAGAATTTCCCTGACTGGCTCAGGGCTATAATGGGAGATGAGCACTGTCTGAATGCTCTTACGTGCAAAAAATAACTTTTTTTTAATACTTATTAAATTGTTTTTATTCGCAAATACAATATTCATATGTCTCCAATCCATCTCATAACACAGACGTAGAGCACTGCTGTATAAAATGGACCTCCAATATAAATATGCAGCACCTGTGAGTCCCTGCTCGCCCTGATTATTTAAAAAAAGCCAAATTAGTTTTTCTCTTTTGTGCATTTGTCTAAATGCATGGCATGCAATCTGTAGGCAATACAAATGCCAGCTCCTGCCATCTGTTTAAAACATTTCCAAACCTATTCGCTTCAATAGCTCTTGCCGATGTGATCGCCTCTAGAAATTAGAATTGCATAACACAGGAATTGAAATACATATGAATGGCGATACCGAAACTTATTTATACTTGTAGACCATATCTCGTTTACCTGCAGTTATTAATATTCTTGATTGGTGCTGCCATCGACCAATCCTGCATCTCACAGTGCAACGTTGTAATTGAGGCTCTTTGTTAACGGCAACAAGTTGTCCTGGCAGCATTTACCAGGCGCTGATGAGATCTGCATTTACAGTTGTAATCTTCAGCTGATTTCAGCTCACATGCAGCAACTCGAGAAGCAGATGGGTGGATTGTTGTTGCGTCGCAGAATCGTGTGAGACTCGCGACGGCTTGGGGAGGCATTCATACAGCAGTTGATAGACATTGGCGAATGATGAACGATCAGCAGCCAGTAATGTTCGGCATGGCCCTGCCAATTCATCACCAGCAAAAAAGTGCACGGGGAGATAATCCCAAATGCATGCGCCAATGATGCGCCAGTGATACGAGGACATCAGTGCCAGCCCAGCGTGTTATTGTTTTGCAGAAAAGGCGTGCTTTGTTTGAAACCTGGCCAAGTATGTACGTGGTGCTGGCCACCCACCCCCTCGTGTGCCGTGCCGGTCTTCATAGGTGCTATCCGCTAACACCACTTGCCTCAACAGTATGTTAAGGCAATCCGGGTGGGGTCTTTGACGTAGGGAAACCCCTCTGTTGCGCCTCCATTGGTGGCACCGTTGGAGTGGAGAGGAGGAATTCTGGGAAATACACTTTGGGGAGGTCCGTAGGGGCAGGATCAATGGCTGTGCAAGGCGTAAGCAGATGCTTAGACACCCCAAGCAGCCGAAGGGGGCTCAGGATTCATGACAAATACACTAATGGTGCATCAAACATATAACGTAAAAATGATAATCCACATACCAAGCCAATTATCATAAAAAACAAAGAAATCTCACCGCTGTTTTGTCTGCATCTCTCTTCTCTCGTCTCATCACACCTCTAGCCTTGTCTGCATTGCTCTTATATCGCTATATCTATCGTCGACATCTCTTCTGTCATCTCACTGGGATTTCATGAAAGTGAAAGGGGTCCTCCCCCCAAAAACTATTTCGACTCAGAGCCCCTTCATGGGTGATTGAGCACCAGCACCGGGCAGGGTGAGTAGGGCAAGCAGCTTGGTCGAAGGTGGCTGTGTTGGTGGTGGGACACACACGTGTTGCTACATTTCACCACAGTGGCGAGATGTTAACTACCTCGCCTGGTGTACAGGAGTATGTGGGTTCGATCCCGACCCTGACGCCTGCTGTATATTTGGAGTTTGAATTTTTTTTCTGTGGTTGCGTGAATTTTCTCGGGGTCCTTTGGTTTTTCACTCCACATTTATAAAAATTTGTTTAGAGTGTTTGTTTGTTAGAAATTTCCACGTTGAGCTATAAATTGTGGCCAGGTCGCTTCTTCCCAGTAGGCCTTACTTGGTAAAATTAAAATAGTCTATAGTGTGCCACTCTCCAATACCCTGCTGTCACTCTCCGACACAATGTCCTGCACCTTTGAGCCAGCGGGACTTTATTCACGCACGCATGGTTGGATGGACAGAATGCTGGCACGGGAAAGAGAACTGGCGTGAAAAATTCATGTTTGCTCCGCCGCCAGGTCGCACCTGGCCATGCCCATCATAGAAGTTATGCCGGTCACTGCATTGACCGGTGATTGCTGGCAACATGAGAATCCAAATATTAGTTTTTGGTGTGAATTCCCAGCATCAACAACCATTTGCTGATATTTCCCACCAAAGGTGACCATAAATGCCTCTGCAGGCGGGGATCGAGCCCATAGCGTCCGCTTGGCTCAGACTGCAGCAGGTTTGGTGTTGTGCTGTGCTTATCTCCATTGTAGAGTGGTAGAAAGCACTCCTCAATGTCTCTCCACAGGAAACCACGGTTAACGTGCCGCGAAATGCTACTCACTTCATCGATCCCAGAGGCCTAATGGGCTCAGTCAACTCCCAACGGGGATTTGAGCTCACGACCTTTCAAGCGACGGTGTGCCGCAATGCCTCACCCAGCCAGATAATTTGGCAACAAATAGTAAAGAAATAACTGCATTAAGATTGCCACCTCTGCGGTACAAAACACCCGGGATTATTTCACAATACCAGTAGAGGGGGAGAACTACCTTGTAAATGCATCGTTTTGAGTGGTGCATTGTAACGCGGCTAACTAAAACAATCACTGTGAATGTGCTGGGAAGACATTCAGACTTCCCAGGACCCACGACCTTCAATATTGGGAAAAACAGGACAGGTGGAAACCACAATCTGGACGCGACTACTTAACTACATCTTGACATTCGACTGCTGCAATTTTTTACTCTCGTGCGCTGCCACCAGTAATATGCTTGAATAATAATCATAAATTACATTTATAAAGGACCCGTCTACAGGGTGCTCAAGGCACGGAACATCACAAAAAAACCATATTTTTTTGGCCAAGTGGAGGAAAAAGGAATCGATATCGAAGCTAAATTTGGTAACCAGAATCAAGAGAAAAGAAATGCGTATTGAGGCGGCTTTTAAATGGTACCATTGTCTCCGAATTACGAACAACGCTTTCTGGGGAAGGCGCGCCACACCGAGAGGAGCAGCACAACAGAGGGCACGGTCACCCATTGTGTGGAAGAGGCGGGTCCCGGGAACGCACAGGGCACCGGCCATCGAAGAACGAAGACTTCGGGATTGTACATTGTTGTTGTAACTGGCTGACCTCTCCCTGACTGGAAACATAAAAGCTTCACAGCTCATCGGATTCATCCAGTCTCAATAAAGATTCTGATTCCGATACTCTCGGGCTCGTCATACTGTAGCCCTGGCGAGGTCGTCTTCTAGGGTGAAGGGCTCCTCCAGGGACAGGCAGATGTTCCACAGTCTGTGTCTCACGGCATTCACTTTGCCGCGAATGACAAGCGCGCATTGTGACAGTCGATTTGTGTGCGTGCTTGTCTTGTGGGGAGCGGTACCGCAGCGGTGAGCACACTGCGCTACGATCCCAGCCACTCGATTCCCGCCCACGGCCACCAACACCGGTGATGGTTATCTGATTCGGTCCTGGGCCTTTCCCTAGGTCGACTCAACCTCAAAATGAGCACAGTGCCTGGTTGCGGAGTGTAAAATATCGTCACTGGCGAGACACAGGGGCGGCGCGGCGTTGGCCACCCACCCCCTCGTGTGCCGTGCCGGCCTTCCATAGGCCGTGCTCTCTAACAACACTTGGCCCCAACAGTGTGTTAAGGCTACACGGGGGGAATATTTTGTCTTATATGTCTCTTCGCTTGTGGTGAGGGAACAGGTTCATCGCGGGCCCTTGGTCGCCTTGCAGCGCCACGTGCGGCGTGGGCGTGCGGACGCGCGCCGTCGCCTGCCGCGTCTTCCTCTCCTTCTCGCGGACCGTCGCCGATCTGCCCGACGAGGAGTGCGGCGAGGGGCCCCGGCCCAGCACCACCAGGGCATGCCGCGCCGCTTCGTGCTCCGCCGACTTCGCTCCCGCGGGCTGGCGAGAGGAGGGGGAGGATGAAGAGTCCGAGGAAGAAGGGGAGGGAGAGCAAGACGGAGAGGAGGAGGGGGAGAGCGAGAGGGGCGATGATGGGGAGAGGGATGTGACCCCGCATGCCATTGAGCCGGTTTTCGAGTGGGAATATCAGGGCTTCACGGACTGTTCAGAGTCGTGCGGCGGAGGTGAGTTTTGTTTCAAGTGTGTTCTTTGAGGCATGTTACTCAGGTTCGTAAAAATTGTGTTCAAATGTAGGCCACAATCTATTGATACTTTTGGTACGAATAAACCAGAGAAATCGAGCAGTTGCCAGGTATTCTTAACCCAGTTCTCCCCTGAAAGAGAGATCGTTGAGACTTCCATTAGGCTTTTGCATGAACGAGTTGTACAACGATACGAACAATATAAAATCAATGAACAATGCAACGATGGCACATCTGCTGAGTGAAGTCCGTAAGAACAACTGTCGGAATGCCTGGTCAACTGAAGTATGAGTTACCCGATACACGTTACTTGAGCCGTGCCTGTGGAGCATTCTCTGCTAACTTGACATGTGCACTTCTTTGTAACCAAAGGCACCCAGGAGGCCAGGGCTGTGTGCCTGAGCAAGGAGGGTGGCGAGCCAGCCGACCATGCTCTGTGCAACGCCTCTCATCGCCCCCCAAGGCTTCTGAAAAGCTGCAACGCGGACCCCTGCCCTCCCAGGTACCTCGCGCTTGCCAAGAGCTCAACGATGCCGCCAGGAGCCCAGAGCGCCAGATCATCTGGACTGCATCTGGATCCGTTCAATTAAAAATCAGCCGTTCTGACACGAGGTTAAAGTTGCTTTGAGACCTTTAAATTAACCGAGCTATAAATAAGCGAGTAGACTGGTTTTTATTTTTTTTTCTCTCTCAGCGTTAATATTGGGGTGTAGGAAAAATGAATGAAAATTCAACGATGAAATCATACGTAATCGCTTCCAAGATGTCTGGCCAATGTGGAAGAGTAGGCCAAATTCCCTCCAGAGAGCTTCCCTCTAGTAGAGATCCTCATGCCAAGAGTGGTGTGAGCACGAAATTGCTCACAGCACCGCTACTTATTATTATTACTGTAGTAAACCGTGAGGTAAATTAAAAAATTAGTGGTAAACATTTTTACAATGGTGTCAGAATTTATAAACTCAGCTGGCTCGGTGTCTTTAAATGGCACAGCGATGCTTTTGGTCACTACCAACTGCTGCCTTCCGCTGTAAAATTGTTGATTAACACCCTGAAGGAATCAACATTTGCAATCGTAGACTGCGCCAGTCAAGCAACAAATATGAAAGTTATTGCGCAGCACAACTATGAACAGTTAATAATCATACAAAATTGTGTTTACATTTATCCGTAATGCGTTATTCAAAATAAATGAATGACTCTTAATGGGCTCCTATTGGGTTAAATAATGTAAACATTCCATACATGTTCTTAATAAATCTTACTGTTACTTGGTACTCATCTTTTTTAATGTGCAAAGAGTAATACATCACTATTATATAGTTGCATGTTTTTTAAAATATATATAAATATTTGTAGAAGTGTAAACATATTCACATTCACTTGCTTTGGGTTCATTAAAAGCGGATAGGTATACAAACCTAAGCCAAGATTTGTTCACCGATATCCGAAGCTTGACCTGCTTAAATTAACCATTAGCCACTGGCGGGACATCTCCCATTACGTAAATGGAGGCACCCTTAAAACAAGCATTGCATTACTGTGCCGAGTTTCTGCGCGAGGTTTATGCAGCAGTGATTGAGTGTTCCGCACGATATAAATGAAACTGCAGCATGTGCCGACAGGCATCCAAACCTTCACTTAGCCTCGCGCTGACTCCGGTATCGCGTGACACCCAGCGTTCCCTGTATTTCCATCACTGCGATGCGGGATTGATTCCTCTTGAGACGTGTATTTCCACACATTAGATGCCACCCCCTCCCCCTGGCTGACATGGCCAGCGATGTCTTTTAAACGTACTCGCAGAGACAGGCGAGAGGGTGAAAGGTTCAGGATCCTCGCTCGCTATTTTATTTTTCTATCACTTGTCTATCACACTGTAGGGAAGCGTTTAAAGGAATTCGGATTCATAAGTTACAATTTCACATGTGTGTTCGGATCACTTTACATTGCATGGTTATTTAAAATGTATTCGTGCTCACAAACGGGAAAGCACGGAATTGATCATGTGAAAGTTCTCTTTTGGGATTGATTTGACTGAACGCTTTCCTTTGGATCGTCTCAAATATCGTATATCGGTTGCATTTTTGTGCTTTTCAGATTAATCAGAAAATCGGGAAAACATTTCTTTAGAATGAGGCCCAGTAGGGAGGTTTTGAATGTAACCGCATGGACATGAATACCTCCACAGGCACAAGCGTGTACATGTGGGCGCAGATTAATTTTCAAACACAGTCAAATACATTGACATCCTGTCCTTCTCCCTAATTATTTACAATGCCAGGTAAGCAAGCCATGGTTAGCCCTCTTGGGGACTCACAACATGCGGTTGCACAGCCTTCTTACCATCATGGGATCGGAGCCAAATACGAGCCTGAGCAAGGCATATCTTTATTTGTGGTATAAAGAAGCAAGTTACGAGTAGTAGGAGTAGTAAGGAAAATAAATGTAATGTACAGCCATTTTGACCGTACTGCATCATGCTGGTCAGTGTGGGCGGTGGTGGGGTTGGGATGCCAGCAACTGGTTGAGATTTCAGATCACTCCGATATAATCCATGGTCGGGATTCAGAATCGGGTCACCGGGTTGAGGGCGTAGTGCACAAACCACTGCGTTGCTGCTCCCTCCGAGGTATGAGTAATGGGCAGAAAATGCTGTCCTGGCTTGAGCCAAAGCACTGCGTGTGACGCAATGCAACTTTGATTTATGTAGTGCGTAGATGTGACCACGTCTCGAGATGCTGTGTGCACAAGGTGCCAAGCGTTTTGATAGCAGAGAGAAAAGAAGAGGAAGGGGGGGTAGGAGGCTACGGGCAGAGATGGAAATGAGACGACAATTTTGGTGAGATGTGAATCAAGATAATTAATAGGGAGGAGACAGCATGCCCTTAATCCGTGTCTGCTTGTCAAGTGCATGGCATCCCACAACCACGGCTTCAAAACGGTGCAAATGGACATGTCCCTGCCCACGGGAACATGCCCCCACACGAACTGAGCTGAGCCTTTACAGGAATGGTTCTCAAAAAAGTGCGGCTTTATAGAAAGCACGTCAGAGGAATGCATTGCATGCAGGCCTGGATTCAGATCCTCCTAAGTGCTATTCCTGTACCTTTGAGTCTGTTGTTATCACCAAAAAGGCTTATAAACCCAGAGGGCAGACTAATTTGGCTTCTGGTTAATTGGGGCCTGATGGGCAACGCTCACGAGGGTCTTAATTAGGCTGTTGGTTCTTCACAGTGACCAGCAGAAGGGAAGCCTTCAATTTGTGCCGCTGTGGGGCCCGTGGAGAGCTGAGTGCTGCACCTCAGCATACCAGAAATAATGGATAATTTAGCCATCACAGCACGCCGTCGTATTTCACAAAGCACAGCACTTTCTTTTTCCAAGCTCATAAAAAAAAGGTGTGTAGTTATGTTTCCATAACCCGAAAATACATTGTGTGCTCAATGTCATCCGGCCCACATATTTTCTGCAGTGATGGTGTTTTAGGAATGACAGATTCGTATTTGATAATTATGGCCTATATCAGCGCTTCCCAACCTGCGGCACCTCGAGCATGCGAGAACAAAAAAAATATTTAAAAAATCACCTCAAGGCGACGTGGGGGGGGGGGGGGGGTGGGGGGGGGGGGTACGGTCAACCGGGGTTAGTTACTGAGCAGTGCTGCTTTGCATGCCTGTGCACTCGCGATTCGAAAAAAACCTATTTACTCATTTGTTGTATGGAATTCAGAAAACCGATGCAATTGGCCACCTCGGACGTCCACGTGTCCTGCAAGTGCCTTCTCCCCCTCTCTCGCTCGTTAGTCGTATTTGTTTTTAACATGTGTTTTACAAATGCGCAAAGGAAATTCTTCACTTCTACCAAATATTTTCGTCAAGCATCCACATTTAGTGAAGCCCAGCCTTCCGCTCTGCTTAATGCCAATGGTCAGTGGCTACAGGCTTAAGCTGTATGGTTGTGGCTTTGTTAATTTTATTAAATTGTATGTAGATAACATTATACTTAGTTGTTATTAACACCTAGGACTGAATGTCTCTGGTGTTGTGTGTAAATGCAATTACAATGTACATTTTGAATTATGGTGATGTATTTGATGATTTGCGTATGCTGGTAAGGGTATATGGGAGGTATTCTGTTAGAAACCAGTGGCTTATACGAATGAAAAGTTGGCTTAGTCATTTGACGCAGTCCACATCTTTAATTTTTATAAACATTTGTATCACAAATTGCAAATTAACACATGCAAATTATGACACAAATTTATTCCATGGAAATAAATTCCATGTGTGCAACAGCAACAGACTTGGGAGTGTGTGATCCAGCTATTGCGATAGTACACAATGTCCCGAGAGGCGGGAAAAAGTACAATATTATTGGTCAACTTTAACCAAGCCAATCACAAACGTATTGAATGGAGAAATATAAATAAATACGGACCATGGAAAACTGCAGCACTGCTTAATGTGAAGCACACCTGCACATAATGGCTTTCTTACGCGCCACTGCTACCATCTGCCAATCAATAACCAAATGTCACCACGTGTATGTACATGAAAAATGGTTGTCATGCCAGATACATTTAGCTGTTTCCCAAATGTATTAATTAATGCTTTCATCATAGCTCTTGTATCCAAACGCAACTTGTAGCTGTTGCACACGTGTGCGCCTGGAAAGATAAACTATCCAGTCCGTGCCACACACACATATCCACAAAGACCCAACGTACATCCTTAACAGACTGTTGGGGCAAGTGCTGTTAGCGAGCAGCACCTATGAAGGCCGGAACGGCACACGAGGGGGTGGGTGGCCAGCAATCACGCCCGACCGCCTTTGTCTCACCGGTGGCGATGTTTACACACTGCACCAGGTACTTATTTTAGGCTGAGTCGACCTAGGGGACACCCAGGACCGGTTCAGACAATCGTCACTAGTGTTGACCATGAGCAGGAATCGAACTCGGGTCACCAGGTTCGTAGCGCAGTGCACTAACCACTACACTGCCGCTCCCCATACACACACGTACTGGTTCGTGCAGACACGTGCCTGTGTGTGCACGTGTCTCTGTATGCAGTTAAAGCTAGCGTGGCGTGCTCTTTAGTTATCCATAGTACATGTTTTCCCTCCTTCGGTAAACTGTAAGATCTTTTTGTTTGAGAAGTATTTTGTGAGCAAACTAATGCTTTATCACTCGAAGTAAGTGGCTTAGTCACCCGTAACAGTGGGATACAATGGCCAAACAGTATCTGAGATGGCGTGCCAAGGACCATCGATTGTACACCCAACAGTTTTGGTTCGCAATACTAGACTTGCGATGCAGAGATCGCGGGTTTGTCATGGTGACTTGGCAGTTGAAAAATTGGGCATGTTTCCTTAAATCCATCATTAAATCCCTCCTGTCCACCCAGCAGAATAAATGGGTGCAACCATAGTTAGTCGATCAGCAGGTAGAGTAAATTGTAGGTGCTCTCCTCTTCCGAGATGTCTAACCAGTAAGGAAGAGTAGGCCAAGTACCCTCCAGAGGGGCTCTCCGGAGCTCCCACTCACGGAGGCCCTTCCATTGACCGAATCGCCCGTGAGGAGACCTTGGCCAGGTTGGGATTCCACCTCTACCGCTGCTGTTATTCGTTGACCATTCATGGAACAACGGATTACAGTGCAATGCTCTGCACCATCTCTATGCACAAGCAATTACATAAAGACACGTGAAAAGACCCCCTATATAGCCATAAGCAGACTGTTGGGGACAAGTGCCACCTCTATGAAGCCTGGCACGGCACAGGACGGGGTGGTGTGGCCAGTGCCTACGCCTGGCCGACTTTTGTCTCCCCATTGCCCACATTCGCACAGTGTAACACGTACTGATTTTAGTCTGAGATGACCTAGGGGAGGAGGCCCTGGAGCGGTTGATGAATTTATCACTGATGTTGGTCATTAGCAGGAATCGAATGCAGGTCGCCAGGTTTTGTAGTGCAGTCTGCTAACCACTTCACCACCGCTTCAACACACACGCGTGGACATTCATCACCCATTACACACACACACACATGTACAGTACTTAACACGTAAAAAAAAAACAGCTTGCATTAAGTTAATAAATATAAATTACCTGGTACATGCAACGACCAATTTTCACGTAGCTTTTTATTTCCTGGAAATTTTAGAAAAACGCTGTAGCAAAACAAATTGGTATTTTTTATTATTATATAGTGTTACTTGTAAAAAGCCAACATTTAAGAGAAAACAAATATTTAAAAAATAAACACGCATCTCCAGGAAAGAAAATCGTGCCGTGAAGAATATTTCTATAGACAACAAACCGGGGACTGCACAACAGGAATCAGTGCCAATCCAATTCCAGTTTGGCAAACAGTATTGCCTCATATTTAAACTGGGTATTTCTTATGCGGCTGAGGCATTTAGTGTCTCCTAAGCAATCTGGTACTTTACATTCACAGACCCATGAGATATCTCCACTGCAATTTAACTCCCCTGCCGTCGTGAAGCACAATTTTGTCTGCTCAGCCAGCAAGGTGTCAAAGGTCTTCGAAGTAACCCCTACTGACAGCTGAGATTTATTGAGATTTTTCCAAAATTAAATAAACCCCACTGGCACCCGATGGGCAATGTTATAGCATTTAAAATAACGAGTGGTGCCACTGTTGTAAAAATAAAATATATTGGTATTTTTTTTGCCACGTACGTGAATGTGCCTGGTTTTAATCCGACGGTGTGACTCCGTTAAACGTACGAGGTTTGATGCATTTTTTGTCAGTTCTGTTATTTTCCTGTTATTCTCGAGGTCATTTAAAGGTTCTGACCTGCCAGAACTCTCACTCCGATTTCAGTTTTGTAGCCTGAAAAACAACACACCTGCAACCTCTAACCTTTCTGATTGACTTCGACTGATTCAAGCCGGGCATCTGAAATCAATTAAAAACATTGACCTTGCTCTGCTTAGATGTTATTTCCTATTTAATGCATTGACTGTTTTTTTTCTAGTTATTTATGTTAACCAATATAATAACTACGAAGCACATATGCTGGGCAATGACAAAATATGTACCAAAGACAGTGATTGATTACAAAACGTAGGGTATTTTCTTCCATATAGATTTATTTAGATTTGTTTAAATGTTTTACCTGGGTAATATCTTGAGATGGAACATCTCGTTCACAAGGTTGCCCATGGCGTCAGGAGACACATAGCAAATGCGTACCGATATCTATACGAACATTAAAACATCTAAAATGTATTCAGAATACATTTATACAACGTCATATACACGTATACAGTGTCAAGGCAGTGCGAATGAGCATCACACTGCAGTCACACACGCGCGACTGAGTTGGTGTGCACTGCCGAATCATATACTGTAGAACACACTCGAGCTGTAACAGTCATACATTTTTTTTGTGCGAGTGAGTTCTAATCAAAGATTTTAATAGTGTGCAGACTGGTGGTGCGGTTAAGTGTATATGCTGATTTGTTTGTCGAGGGAAGCTTCTGACCCCAGCTTGGTCTCCGTAGCTCATTAGGTGCTCGCAGCTTCAATCAAACGTCTATGAAGTTCATTTCCATATGGCCATTCATGTGTACGAATTGATGAGACGATTCAAGGAAGCTCTCTTAAAACAAAAACGTGAAGCACTTTACGGGGGGTTGAAACTGTTTAAAAGATATTTTAGAATTTTACCAGGTAAGGCCCACTGAGCTGTGTGGCTCTTTTTCAGAAGCGAACTTACCACAAATGAGAGCACAACGAAGTGGCTTATCACGTGGATATTTATTGCGGCCAAATACATTTAGAATCGACGCATGTCGGCCTGGAGAAAAAAAAACACATGACCACGGCGAGAAAGACTTGCAAACTCCAACTATACAGGCGTCAGGGTCGGGATCGAACCCATTACCTCCTGTAAAGCAGGTGAGGTAGTTAACATCTCACCACCGTGGGTCTCATTGCTCATCAGGAGATTCCTGCATTGAGGCGTTTAGCCACATTCTTAGTCAGTATTTTTACCATTGGTGGGAGGTAACCCACCCATTTCAGGGAATAACAGAAAAAAAAATACAGATAGCCCCGCAGCAAACTCATTGTCATGCAGCTAGCTATTCACGGCCCATCCCGTGGGCCCTCTAGGTAGGTTTCTCATGTCATAATGATTATTATTATTATTATACAATCCGACCAGTAATGCCATCAGAGGGCTGGTTTGCAAGTTCATGTACGCTTCTTGCAAATGCAGCCAGTGTGGGCTTACATGTGATGGATCGCAATCATGGGAGGAGCAAGACAGGCAGGATGGGCTGGCTACACGTACGACATACAAGTATCAAAGAAATCAATCGTTTATTTTGTGTGCCAATATCGCCCTCAATAAAGTAGGCATCAGTTGCACATGAAAGCAGAACGGGAACGGTACAGGGGCATATGAAACCCGTCACGACCTCAGCAGCAAAATAGATTGCATCCGCACGCAAAATATAGTTCAACCGCCGTGTGCAACGAATAGCATGAGAAAAATAAGTACTGTAGTAAATGAAATAAATAATATGTAAAGAAAGTGTCTTTTTTCGTAAAAAAAAAACCCCGTTACTTTTACATCTACACGTTTCGTGAGCTGGAGAAATAAGATAATTTAAACTAAACTATGTTTCTCTTGCTGGCTAAGGTCCACTGAGCTATGTAGCTTTTTTTCTGGAGTGACCTGGCCACAAATGATAGCTCAACGAAGTGGCCTTCATAACGTGGACATTTCATAGCAGCCAAATTCAAAAACACATGTTTCTAAATGCGGAGGGAAAAACCTGCGAGAGAGAGAGAGACACCGCAAATTCCAAATATACAGCGGGCATCGTCAGGGTCGGGGATCAAAACCCACGAGACCTCCAGGCCGAGGCAGCTCAACATCTCGCCACCGATCGCAAACGAGTCACGGCATCCACGCCCCGCCGCTGTTGTCGCCCCCCGCCGCCGTGCCAGGTGGGAGGAGGGCGAGTGGAGCCCGTGCCCCGTGAGCTGCGGCCAGGGCCTGCACACCCGGGAGGTGGTCTGCGCACGCCGTGTTGCCTCGCCGCCCGCCGGGCGGTCCCGCGAGCGGCCGCCGCCGCCGCCGCCGCCACCGCTGCTGCTGCCCGATCGCGAGTGTGCCCTGCCCAAGCCGCCCGCAGCGCGCCCATGTGCCCGGCTGGACTGCCCGCCTGCCTGGCACGCGCAACCTTGGCAGCAGGTGTGTGCACGTGTGCTGTGTGTGTGTCAGTATTTGTGTGCGCGTGCGTGTGTGTGTGTAAGTGTCTGCATGTGTGTTAGTGTCTGCATGCGCGTGTGTGTGTCAGTGTCTGTGTGCGCGTACGCGTGTATGTTTGTGTTAGTGTCTGCGTGCGCGCGTGTGTCAGTGTCTGCGTGTGCGTACGCGTGTGTGTGCGTGTGTGTGTCAGTTTCTGCGTGCACACTCACTCCTCAGTGTGCCGGGAAAGGTCCTGGCAAGGATTATTCAACATCGCCTTGCCAGGCACGCTGAGGAGAGGTTTGTGGAGCCCCAATGCGGTTTCAGGAAAGGGTGGTCCTGCACAGATGCCATATTTTCTGTCCGTCTGCTATAGCAGAGGTGTAGGGAATTCCAACAAGACCTACATCTCTGCTTTATTGACCTGGTCAAGGCCTATGATACCATCAGTAGGCCTGGGCTCTGGGTTGTTCTTCGTGCTTTTGGAGTCCCTGATCCGCTGCTCACGATCATTAAGGGCCTTCATGATGGTGAGCGGGCCTGGGTAAAACTACATGGCCTGGAGTCGGAGCCATTTCCTGTTCACTTCGGGGTGTGACAGAGATGTCCTCTGGCTCCCACATTATTTAACATCTATTTCGACCACGTAGTTCGTCAAGCCTTCAATAGCTGTACCGGAGGAATTTCCATCTGGTGCAGATACAATGGGAGGCTGATCGATGCCTGGGTGCGATCAACGGATGGCTCCGTATTGCTCAACCATGTTATGTATGCCAATGATCTAGTAATTGCTGCTCACTCAAACGAGGAGTTAGAGGTGCTGCTGCTGAATCTGGAGCTTGCCACTAAGAGGTGGGGACCTACCATCAGTCCCACCAAAACTAAGCACCTGCCTGGGTACTTTGTACGATCGGACACTCCACCCCCACAACTCCCAATTGGTGATAGGGCAGTAGTGGAGAGAGTGGAGAGTTTCCCATACCTGGGAAGTGTGCTCATGACTGGCTCCGGTTTAACAGCAGAGGTCTCACTCCAAATCAATCGAGCGGCATTATCTTTTCATCGGTTGCATAACGCTGTGTGGAAGCTACCTGGTCTTTCGCTCCGCACGATGCTTCAGGTCTTCTCGGCCACAGTCATTCCCTCCCTTCTCTATGCTTGCGAAACGTGGACCCCCTTAATGGAACATCTTTGACGGTTAGAAACATTAGGCTGGCCTGCCTACGATCCATCTTAGGTTTAACCAGGCTGGATTGTGAGGAGCTCACATATCCTTGAAAGATCTGGACAAAGTCCCATCGGTGAGGTCCTCCGGCAGGCAAGGCTGTGTTGGCTGGGTCATGTAGCCAGCATGCCCAGCCACCGCATGCCTAAACAGCTTTTGTTCAGCTGGATCGAGGGAGCTAAACGGGCGCGGCACGGGCTAGAGAAGAGATGGAGTGATGTGGTACAGGAGGATGTGGAGCTGAGTGGACTTGCCGATGACTGGTACCAGCGGTGTCAAGATCGGCCTTTGTGGAGGAGGAGGCTCGTAAAGGACGCTACTGGGCAGTTGGAGGCAGTCGCCCTCCAACAACAACGGAGGTGGGAGGAGTGACGCTCACAACAGCGAGCGGAGTGCCGGGTGACTAAAGCACAGCAAGTTGGCACAGTAGGGGGCACAGGTGGTGCATCAGCCAGTCATCTCCGTCAGTCGACCCGTAGCACCTGGGTCTGCCCCGTGACCTCCTGCCAGCGGGCGTTCGATACTTTATGTGGCCTCAAGGTGCACATGACCTGGCACAAGCGTCGTGGTGACGTCACCGCCACTTAGTGGCGAATGGCGGTTGTTGTTGTGTGCGCGTGTGTGTCAGTGTCATGTGTGTGTGCACGCGCGTGTGGGGAGCGGAACTGCAGCGGTTAGCGCGCTGCGCTATAAACCCGGCAACCCGGGTTCGATTCCCGCTCACGGCCAACACCCAATGACGATTATCTTTTCTGTGCGATTTATTTACGTTTTCCATCAGGTTTTTGTTTTGGTGACATGTTTCATCTTTACTCAAGTGTGTTTCTGTTCAAGCTCAGATCGTTTTCTCCTTTATTTAAGTACATTAATATATTTTTTGGAGCGTATGCTGTAATGGTTAGTGCACTGCGCTTGCGATGCAGAGTTTATCGGTTCAGACTACAAGCAACGGGAGTTGAAACAATGTTAAAGTTTCTCAAATATCCCTGCCTCTGTCCACACCACGTTCAGTCGATTGGTTGGTCGCATGTGGTGGGGCAAAGTGTGGATACTCGAGCCTATTCCAAGATGACTGGCCGATGTGAAAGAGTAGGCCAAATAAGCTCTCGTGGAGGCCCTTCCACCAGCAGTTGAGTGAGAAAGTAAATGCAGGGCTGTACCTTCGCCTATATTCGAAACTTGTTGACATCAATTGGCAAGGTCATTTGTTCTGTGGAAGAGAGTAACTTCCTGTACTGATTATACAAAAGAGGTAAAGAGTAACTTCCTGCACTGAATATACGGAACAGGTCATTCCACTGTTAGACACTGCTAATAGATCTGCCTCTTAGTATTAATTAGTTTTGTACTGAAGGCTAGCACTATTAATAGCACAACTGAACCCATTTCGAATTTTACCAAAATATTTTATCAATTCCAGTTCATGATTTTATAGAGTTTTTTGTAATTCTCCAATTTCATTTGTAGGAAATCATTATTCATCAATGAACAGTTCTTCCGGTCCAAAATAAAGCATCAGCGTATCGTTAATTTTTGTTTTATTCTTGTACAACTGGTTAAAATAAATATTGCATTTCTCCACTCAAGTATGTTCTTTCTTGTTTAATATATTATTCTAAGTTACAATCATATAAATGTTGCTCCAAATAAGGAATTGAAGTTGATAGTGACTGGCATGCTTCACATATATTTCGTATATTTGGTGACAGGTGTGCTGTTTTTAAATGACTTGATTTCAATCCACAAGTGGCTCAAGAAGTATTGGTTTCACGAAGTTAATTTCCTTTATGACTTGTTTTTTATTTTACCAACTCTTTATGCGGTATTCGCTGCCAGGTTTATTTTTTGGGGGCATAAAAGTTGAAGCCCTTGTAACCACATCCTTCTATTTCGGAATCCTGCTTGAGGATTTAGTTTTATGATATATATAAAATGGAAGTCATTGATTTACAATGAACATAAAGTGTTAAGTACGTATCTTAGTTCATATACATGTATTGCAACTTATCGATTACAACTTTAGAAATTAATAAGGCTGTTAATGGTGCTGTTTCTTGCCGGTCTTTTAACATTTTGGTTCTTTGGGCCTGTGTACAGAAACAGTGATAAACGTATTTATTGCATTAATACGCTCATACGTATTAGTTATTCTCAACTGAAGATGCCATGAATATAAACACGTTGAAAATTTGATTAACTCAGTATTTGTGTCTTACTGCATAGTCAAGTAATAATCAAATCAGCATCAAATTGCGTGTTCTGAAATTTCAAGCGCTTTAATTAAATTCCAAGGTACGTTATATGCACCGCAAGTTTAGCTAATATCGCAACTTTGAAAATTGAGTTTCAGGTGCGGTCATAAGGTAGTAACTATTCATACGTTTAAGAAGTATAGAAGCTATTCAAAAATACTCTTTTTTATTTTATCAGGTAAGCTAAAAGGCTCTTTTTCAGAAGCGACCTGGCCACAAATTATCGCTCAACAAAGTGGCTTATCATGTGGAAATTTGCAGCAGCCCAATACTCGAAGCGCATGTTTTTTAAATGCGGATGGAAAAACCAGAGGACCCAGAGAAAATCCACACGACCACAGGGAGAACACACAAACTCCAAATATACAGCAGGCATCAGGGTCAGGTTTTGAACCCACAACCTCCTGCTTACCAGGCGAAGAAGCTAACATCGTGTTACCGTGGCGCCTATATATGTATAAACCTACCCCCGAACACGTGAACGTTTGGCAGCGAGCTGCGCGCGAATAATTAATGCCGTTTCGTCTTAATTTTTGGGCAGTGCTCCCGGACGTGCGGCCGGGGCTCGCAGACGCGGGCGGTGCTGTGCCAGCAGCGGCGAGCCGACGGGACCTTCCTGGCCCTGCCAAAAGCGCTCTGCCGAGAATCCCCCCCTCCGGCACACCGGCAGCCGTGCGCTCAGATCGACTGTGCCCCGCGTTGGGCCACTCGACCCTGGCAGCAGGTGAGCGGTAGGCGCGGTCGGGGCAAGTCACGAAAGCAATATTCGACGGGTAAAGGTGCGGCCCGGCAATTTCCTCGGTTCATGCCGCCGGTGGCGGGGGGGCCTCCTCTGGAGGAAACTCGAGAGCAGTGCTTCTGAACATTTTAACAATTCCACGGCACACTTTTCAGCTTGCTTGATTTCCGTGGGCGCACTGAGCCAAATTACCGCAAAGTACCCACAAACCACCGCTAAGTACCACAAACAAAAATAACCTCAAACACACCTCCCCCCTCTCCGACCACGGCTGGCTGGTGCGTGGGCTACCAATAATAACGTGCGCTGGTCGGTGGGAGGATGCCGTGGGTAGCGCTGCCACGGGTGGTTAAAGTTCTTTCCTTTCCTATTCAGTTCTTTTTCAAATACAGGCATACCTCCTATAGCGCCCAGGAAGTGTGACTTGAAACAGCGCTGCTATAGGAGGTCATTATTACATGGTACCAATGGCGATGCATTCCCGACCGCTATTTGTGTTTGACCTATGAGCGATATATGTGAGGGCTTCATTGGGGTATTGGTAATCGCCTTAATACTGATATTGTGCACATAATAAATGCATTAAAGCATTTTATGTACATAAAAAAAAACTTTGAATGATGACGACATAAAAAATGCAGTAAGTGACGTACTCACAAGTGCATTCAGCCAGAGCTTGCGTGAACCACCGTCTGCCGTGAATACACTTTCAGCAGGAAGCTGTGCAGCACAAATGGGATTACTCGATACATTGATCGCCAATTAAGCGATGTGGTCATTAACCCTCGATGATTCGATGAGCAGAATCGATACAATAGACACCTCGGTTCAGGTTCCACAAGACTAAGACCATGTATGGGCAAAGACACGCCCCTACGAGCAACGGCACGCCTACTTTCCTCCTATTGGGAAAGACACGCTTACTTCCATATATGGGGCTGATCTCTCCCAGGAATTTTCCTCCAGGACAAAAGAGCGTTATAAGGAAACAGCATTATAGGAGGCAGTGCGATGTCTGTAGGTTCTTTCATGATTCCGGCAATTCCACGGCACACCTTTTACTTTGCCGCAGCAGACTGGTATGCTATGTCACACCGGTTGAGAAGCCCTCTAGAAGGATTTATTTCCTCTTCTCCCACGCTGGTCAATGTTGTATAAATGTAGCATGCGGTATCATTGAAAAAGAATTAAACATTTGCACAATCGGTGTGTGAGTCAAAAATGTACGCTTTGTGGGAAGCCAGCATTGAGAGATGAACTCCCATTATAGAAATGTGGAATTACCATCGTTCAGCTATGGCTGAAAGTACATGAGCAGTGAAAGGGTTGAACTTTTTAACTTTAAAATCAGTCCATCAGTGACTTCGTTGGCTGTAAGGTAATGTCATTTTAAAATTGTTATATATATTTGGAAATAAAAATCTACATTATGGATGATATTGGTCGCGAAAGCCTACGTGTTAAACAAATTCTCTACATGTTGAGAATCACGTTTACGCTGGTGAGATTTGTGATGTTTGAAGTGGCATCCCATTCAGCATGAGCGGCTTTGAAAATGAAGAGGCAGATCAAATATTAACAGCCAAGCTGTAGTGGACATATCTATATGAATGATTTTATATATGTACATATATTTATAAAAAAAATGTTTTAAAATATGAATGTTTCACAGCATTGAATGCCCAAGGGGAACTTTGAGATAGTCAGTCAGGTCTTCCGTATAAAATAAACTTGTCTCGATGGGTTGTTGTTAAAATCGAGCATTTATCACCTGAACTGCAGATGGAAAGAAGGTTGGAAAACACCTCGGGAAACACCTCCCTCGTGGTCATAGATAGCTGCGCACACAACTCTTGAGCGCTAACTAGGAATCACGCCGATGAAATTACTCCAGTCACAAATTTATGCACGAATAGAACTGCCCTAAAAAGGACAATCTATATATATAATTGGTGACTTGTGCTATGTGAAGAAGGGCCAATGCTCGGCACATCGCCTATTTTTTTTTCCTTTTAGCATGTGTAGTTGACGCATGTGTTGAGTTGTTTTAATTGCCTCGTATGCACCACTGCCAACGCAGTATCACGTGCTTGTAACGTCGCGTAAGTTTGTGCAAATGCTACTGAAGTGGTTTTTAACAAAACATCTGACAAAATCATAATCAGAGAACAACTAAAACTCAGCAATCGAATAAAGCTTGTCAGTAGTCACATGGTGAGCGTTCATCTTAATTATATCAACACATTTTTTCGACTGACCTCCATCTCAATTATGAGAATACGTTTGGGACAATTAGTCCCTGTTGTGTTTGTGTGTTTTGTTTTAAACGTTATTTATATATCGAATGTGCTAAATAAACAGCCGTTATTTATGCCGCAGGGCTACTTTCAACATTAGCCAAGCGAGGAACGTGGAAAAAGTTAGGGTAACTTTAGCCTCCCAGTGGAGAGGGGAACTATATGGGCTTGGGGCTGATGTGATATCAGATATGCCTTATAGAGGAGAGAATTACGATGGCACACACAAAAAAATAGCGCTTACATTAAATGAATATGACATCCTAGGCAAGATATTCGGGAGTTTGAAGATGCATTAAAAAAAATCACTGTTCAAATTTCCTTTTTTCCAAGACACGATTCCTTTGCACATTTATACATGTGGTAAATACACAGGAATATATGTAGATCCATAATAGAGGTTTTTGGGTGAGATCGCGTAAAATATATAAATGTGTTGTTAAAAACCCGCCACCACCCGACACAGCCAACTAGTAAGGGTTGTCACATAAACAGAACGTGGTCAATTCGTCACTAGCACAGCACACCGGTGTGTTGGAGCGCTAAGCCACAACATTTACAAACTGAGTACGACGTTTCGCCAGTAATTACAGCTAGCTTCATCATGCGACAGCCAGATTTGTGGAGAAGTCCACCTGTTTCGTTCCTTATATAGAGCCGTAGATGTGTTGACCACCCTTCTGCGCTCTTGCACAATGTCGGGGGGGGGGGGGGGATTACTGAGACAACGTACATGATGCATGTGCATTATGCGAGCCCTTTGAACTTGTCGTTCCTGTCTATTGTGTTTATTAAAATAGCCCTATCAACGGTAATTCCTATTGAAATACACTGTCCTTTGTAGGCATGCATTTAAATAATGTATTATTTAATTATTCGCTTCCACGCAGCACTAAGATAGTAGCTATCAATTGAGTGTCCTTGTTGGCACGTGTGTTCTGCTCCTGCTGATAGTTGCATTTGGGAGAAATAAATATTTCTCTGATGTTCTTTTAGTCTCGTGCTGGTCATTCGTCCTGTTTGCCCGACATAACATTTACCACACGTGCAGTTAATCCTGTACACACCTTCTGTTGATAGCTTCGGTAATACATCTTTTGTACCAGATATTAAATTCTGTGTTTTATGTACCTTGCCAAATCTAATTCGCATGCTTTGTTTTTCCAAACATCTGGCTAGTTTATCAGTTACTCCCGCAATATTTTGATCGTTTTAATTACTTGGGCAGTTTCAATGCTCTTATTTGATTTGGTTTTGGTATTCAATGCCCTGTTGATTTGTGCATCATTGTAACCGTTCATTTGCAGCGCTTCTTTAACATGTTGAATTTCCCTTCTCAGACTGTCACCATCTGACACTTTCTTAGCCCGATGAATGAGCGTTTTGATAAGAGCAGATTTCTGTGCGGGGTGATGGTGTGACTCTGCATTCAGATAGGCGTCAGTGTGCGTTTTCTTTTAGTAAACACTGTTATTTTACCATTTCCACCCCGTCCGAGAAGAATATCCAGAAATGGTAAGAGTTCTGTCAGCTTCCACTTCCATGGTGAACTGGATGGATGGGTTTTGTGAGTTGAGATGATTTAGAAATGCGTTCAGTGTATCTTTGCCGTGTGGCCAGACCACCAATGTGTCATCCACATATCTAAACCAAGCAGATGGTTTTAGTGTGCTTGAAGCTATTGCTTTTTCTTTATTTATTCCCTATACAGTGTTTACATTTTATTTACTACCATTCAAACATTTCCAATTTAGTTTTCCACTTCAAACAGCGCCGGGCGTCACCGTGCTTACATGTACACGTGTTTGAACCGAGCTCGATTTCCCCTCCGCTGATCTCGTGATACCTTGTGAACGTATTTAAACGTCTTCCGTTTTTTTGCCTTCCCGTGACCGCCCCCCCCCCCCCCCGGCCCCTGCCACGCACAGTGCTCGAGAAGCTGCGAAGTGGGGAACCAGTGGCGTGCTGTCTCGTGTCAGACGCTGTCAGGCGCCGGGGAGACGCTGACTGTTGATCCGGCTGTCTGTCAATCGCTTCCCAAACCCCTCTCCACCAAGGTTTGCAGTCTTCGCCCTTGCACACGTGAGTGCTGCATCCCTTGAGCCTTTGCGTGCCCACGCCATTCGTATTTAGATCGCAACAACTTTGTAAGACGTGGGTTGTTTCCAGCCATGCTTCACCACACTTGTCGGTGTGAGCCGGTAAAGTGTAGGGCCCTGTTCAGATATAATTAATTTGCCGCTTGAGTCGTTAAGTTAAAAGCGTGGTGCGCTCAGCACTGTTGCCACTGCCTTCTCTCTCGATATGCATATGTTGGCCTTTGGATACTATGTAGATTTTTACATCATTAGGGGAAAACTCAAGCAACACATATGGTAATATATTTATTTGAGACTTGTGCGGGCATACGTATCTGTGACACATTGTTGACGCGTTTTCAAATCATAATGGTGTCAACTAGGGTACAGCCGAGTGATGTGATTCATGTGGACAGCAGCGTAAAAATTATAGAATCTACACGCTCCCCAAAACTTTCACAAATTCTGGACGTCTGCTGTAATTGCACCTTACAGCTGTACAGTAAGACATCCGTGCAACACTTAAAGCTCTCCTGGTGACAATATGCATGAATGCCGCTGGAGATCTGCTGCTGGTGTGCATTCATTCTCACAGGGCACAAGTTCAGCCACACGTCAATGTGCATCGGGTTTGCAAGGACACTCGCTAGCTAAGAACTACGCCTGCCTGAGCAGTCACGGCGACACCCTGCAGTGAATCTAGAAGCCCAATCTTGAGATGTAAATCATAATTATTCTTTATGCAGAAGTTGGTGAAATGTAGTGAAACGGTCCCGCATGACTGACATAGCGTGGGGAGGCCTCTAGGTTCCAGTGGATTGACAATGGGCTGAATTTTTAAAATATATATTTATCGTTGTGATTAGCACTGTAAGCCACGTACGGTGCAAAAGAAGTTCAGCATACATAATGTGGTGTTTTATAGCAAGTACTTTTCCTTTTGTATCCACGTTTATTGTCGTTAATCATTCACTCTTCTCGGGTCTCACACAGATGGAAAAGGCAAGCAGAGCAACAGGAAGTCCACCAGGAAGGAGCCGCAGATTGCGGCGATGCACAAAGTGTACATCCAGTCGCGCTGGGATCGCCGGCTCCACTTTGACGTTGGCGGCCGTGCCTACTTGCACCCCAAGACGACGGTGGTGGTCCGCTGCCCCGTGCGCCACTTTGACAAGGCCCTCATCCGCTGGGAGCGCGACGGGCTGCCCCTCGCCAACTCTTCGCGGATCGTCCTCGGACGCTCCGGTGCCTTGAAAGTGCGCCACCTGGAGACCAGCGACATCGGCGTTTACACGTGCGTGGCGGGCTCGGCCCGAGAAAACTTCGCCGTCAAGTTGATCGGCGTCGTCGGCGGCGGCGGCGTTGGGTCGAGCCAGGGCTCGCGAGTGGCCAAGCAGAAGAGCGAGCCGCCCGTCCTGTCGGGCGCGGAGGAGTTGAAACACAACGAAGCCGCGAGCTCCGCCAGCAAGGAGATGGACGTGCAGAAGCTGCGCAAGCAAATCACAGCGAACAAGTACGAATTTTACAGGGACGATGGGAGTTTGTATGACCGGATTGTTCTCCGAGTGCTGGAAAAAAAGCTGGAGGCTAAAACGAAGCCGGCATCCACTGAATCTTCTGACTCGGCAGATAAAGATTACTCGTACGACGACATCATTAACTTGGATGCTTCCAATCCAGTGGCGTACATTACCGAGGAAGACAAACTGGAGGGCCTTATCAGAAACATCACCCTCCGCCTCCGAGGACAGCATCAAATCGGTACCTCCACTCAACCAGCGAGGGATCTGATTGCTAAGAGCCCGACGCAGACTCTGAGCCCGAGAGCCGCCGGAGTGTTTGAGCAGGGCAAATGGGAGGGGAATAATAGCGTTGCATCCACAGCGGTGCCCACACAAAACCCTCGCGGTCTCTCTGCAGAACCGGAGGCAACCACTGAAGAGCCTGGCGATTTTCTGCACACAGCTCAAGTGAATGATGGTTATCGAGCGTCCCCCAGGTTTACGAGTGCCCCCTACGAGGTTCCGGCTATCGAGAGAGAGGATCTACCATTAAGTCTCCTGTCACACAAAGACATCAGGGTGCAAGTGGGCCACCCATTGCTCCTAAGCCATCGGCCCGAGGCCCTGACATTAAGCTGTAATGCACACGGAGTCCCTTCTCCTGTTATCACTTGGCTACAAGACGACACGCCTGTGGCTTTCGGCAACAGGTAACTTTCGCGTGATAGTAAAAATTTTGTGAAACGTCTCTGATTCATATGTATCTCCAGTCATGTAAATATTGTATCCGTGTCTGTGATTGTACGAGGAGCGGAGGCATAGTGGTACGCGTGCACTGCACTACAAACACTGCTGTGGCTTACATCAGTTCCAAGTGAAACCAGAACTTCTCCCGGGCCTCTTCTAGATTGACTGAGACGTAACGAGCATCCTGTGCCTCGTGTAAAACTAAGCACAGGAGAGGCAAAGGTGGTCGGGCGTGGTACTGGCCACACCACTCCCTCATGCTTCGCTGTTGGCATGAGTAGGTACTCCCTAACAGCACTTGCTTCACCATTCTTTGAGGATAGATGGGGGATCTTTGTCTTTGGGTGTGGATGCATACATCAGAATTGGGGAGATATAGGCAGGTGGGCAAGGCACTGGCCACGGCAACCAGGTGTCATGTGAGGACATTAATTGGTGCTCTCTAACAGCACTTGGGGAGTGATTTTCTTTGTTGAGTATATGCATATGCTGTAGGTTTGGAACACGGTGGTGTCTTCACAACTGGTTACTCACTGGTGGTTATACTTTACTGGACGATTATCCTAATGGTCTGATGTTGATTCCTGGCCATGCACATATCTGGTATGGTGTCTCTGTGTTAACAAACTTAATGTCAGCACTCGAAAGGCAAAGGCATCCAAACATGGTGCTGGCCTTGTGATGTGTTGCGAGCACCATAGCTCAATGGTATATCCATAATAATAATAACTGAACTCACAACCGTTTGTCAATCCACTTTTGGATGAGGGCCTCTCCACACCGTGTTGGTCGTGTATAAACAATTCATATAAATGGAGCAGAGATCAAATAATATAAAAATATATATTTGCAGCCTTAATAAATATTTCGGAGTGGTGGTGGTGGTGGTAGTGTCGTGTCAGGTTTGCCAAAAAAAAGAAGTCTTGATGAAAGTTAATGCTGAAAACAATATAGCCATAAAGGCTTGCAGGAAACTTAATTAACAAGATGTTGCTATCTCAATTGAGATCTTGGCTACGATGCCCATCAGTGGCCAGGGATTGCGCTGTTTGAGTGTTGAGGGATTAGAACGGCTCTTGTCAAAGCAACAACCTGAGACGGCACAGCCAACCAGGTTGGTCCGGTATGTTGTAATCCTAGACTAATGCAAGGCAAATACATGCGTCAGTGAGCATTCTGTGGGCCGCTTGCAAGCAAGCCTATTTATTGATCCCTAGACCCAACACATGCGTTGCCCACCCTGCAAGGGATGGAACGGTTGTTCATTCAGGACAATGCGGACGTATTATGGTTGTCCCGCATTCGTTGTCGTGGGCCATGATATATTCACCGCTAGGCAAAGGTATCTCCAAGTCATTAGAGTCGTTCATGGTTCTGCGATGTTATAATTATAATTAGTCCAGCTCATTGCTCCGACGCTGCTTTGGATGTCCTCTTTGGCGACTGAATTCCTTTGGCTGCCATTCCATTCATAGTCTCGACCGTGGCTAACTTCCATTTTACTGATTAGTACTGCCAAAGTGCGCTTACTCTTTTTGTATGTCTATAAGAAAAATCGGAAAGAGATACATTTATCGCAACCGTGTTAAATAAATATTGAATAGTGCACAGTAAAAGCATAAATGTAACTGCTCTTGGTTTATATCTGTATGGTCTTCCCACATGGCTCAAAATACTTAATTTTATTTAACAGGAGCACATATGCAATGGGGTGCATGCTGCTTTAAAAATTATTTAAGTCATACCACACGCCTTATGCAGACTCATTGTTCTGGGTTTGACAATAACCATGTTGGAAAAGGGTTTTGCGCACAGGTGCATAATCATTTTCTAGATAAACACTCTGTCACCGGTAATAAATAGTTGTCCGCGTTTGCCTGCAGGGTTTCGGAGCAGACGGACGGCTGCCTGCGCATTGAACAGCCCGTCGAGTCTGACAGTGGACTCTACACCTGCCTGGCTACCAACCGGGCCGGCACGGACACCCTGTCCTCCCTCGTTACCATCACTGGTAGCTCGCGTTTCTTTCTCTTGCTCTCTCTCTCACACTTGGCAACGTTGTACTTGCAGTGGGAAGTACATCAAAGCTAGAACACGTGAAAGTTATGTAATTCAAGAAGAAATGTATGCACTGGCCATTTTTACGTGACTGTCAATGTCGGTGATTTTCTTTTGGCTGTGCACATTGCTTCACAATGTGGGCATTCCATTAACCTCCTGGGTATTTGTAAAGCAAAAAAAATATGAATTTCATATGAGTACCATTTTGTGGCAAAGTTAACAGTGATTCTATGGATAGCTTGGACCCATCACAGCAATGCGGAATTTTCACCACTGGTTTAAGGCCATGAGCAATAGATGAGTACTGCCTCATTTCCTGGTCATTCGAGTAGAAAATTACTTTGACTCTTGGCTTAATTCAATAATGCACTCATTATTAATACATGCATACTTTGTATATAATATTAATATGGATGTTATTCTGGACAAGACTCAAGACATTTATTTTTCTTAATTACATTTTGCTTCCCTGATGAAATTAATAATAAAACAAAAAATGTCGACGTGTAATTGTTCGGTTTGTTGTTTCGACGGATGTTGTTTTAATCAACAGCAGACTCCCTGATTAAAACTACGAGGGAGGTCATCACCGATCTGAGTGCAAGGCTTGTTGAGGTCAATGTTGGAGGCATGGTCCGGGTCCGGGCTGGCACAAACGTCACTCTGGGCTGCCATATGGACAGTAAGAGCTCTCGACCATAAATTGCTTGCTTACTTTACGAGCACACGAAAGAGTACTGAATGTTTGTTTGGCTGTGACGGATATAGATTTGACTGCGACCGTGACTCTTTTTGTCAAGCCTAATAAAACGAAATACTGGAGTGTGTGATTTTTATGAGCGTACACATATATATTTTTTAGATGCTTTCGAGAAAATGTAATGTCGCATGCATTCACTCGTTCGTGTTTCATATGAGAAAGGAGTACAATTAGGGTTCTGTTTTCAGTTTTGTAAGTTAATGCAAAAAGGAGGTCCCCGAGGAAGGTTTACGGTCAAGAGACATTCCCAACACTGCAATGAAATGGACACCTTTGACCATACTGGCATGCACAAGGGTCATGGGTTGTCTCATAGATGGTGCATTGTCCCAAAGCATATTTTAAAGACAAATTCGTTCCGACTTCGAAAGGTCAGTGCAGTAATCACAAACTATACACCGCGTTTCTGTTTGTGTCTGTTGGTGGCCGTTTAAATGGAATCAACCGTTGCTTTTGTCCATTTGACTCTGTCGGGACAAAAAAAAGTACCCAATGCGTGTGGATTTTGCTCTCCCAGGTCACACGCGCGCAGTCACTGCGGGTGGCGAGGGTGTCGGGACACCCCCCACGAAAATTCTTACATATGGATGGCTCGGAGACGCTCCCACAAACAGTCAAACAGAAATCGTCGTATTTTCAAGTCCACGCTTTTTTCTCCCTTCAGCGAGGTTACATAAATGCAGATTATCCTTGCGATGGGACCGTTAAATACGCTGTAACTCACAAACAGAATCTGAATATGTATTTATACTGAAGGAATCCGATGAGCTATAAAGCTCTTTTTTTACAGATGTCCAGTCGGGGCGGATAAGAACGTTAGAACAACAAACAATACAAAAACACGATAGTGGTGCAAAGTACAAGAAAGGTTAACAATTCACCCAAACACAAATAAAACTCAACCAACTCCATCCTACCAGAAAAACAGTGGGCGCAGTGCCGAGTCAGTATCCAGCAATTACATATATATGTGATATAAATACAGCTCAGGAGTTCAGTTTGATGAAATATGTGAAATAAAATATTTCATGCTATTTAAATTTTACCAGGTAAGGCCCACTGAGCTATATAACTCTTTCTCAGAAGCGACCTGGCTACAAATGATAGCTCATCGAAGTGGCTTATCACGTGGACATTTTACAGCAGTCAAATACTCTAAACGCGTGATGTTGATTTTAAATGTGGAGGAAAAAGAACCCGGAGGACCCGGAGAACAACCCACGCGATCACGGGGAGAACACGCAAACTCCAAATATACAGCCATCAGGGTCGGGATCGAACCCACGACCTCCTGTATACCAGGCGGGGTAGTTAACATCTCGCCACCGCGCAGAGATCATCTGTAACGTGCAGCCGTGTTTGTCCTTTTCCACAGGGCCATCCACAGTCGAAACTGCATGGACGAAAGGTGGGGGAGACTTGGAGAGATCATTGCCTTCGCTCGCCAATGGTTCGCTGATTCTTGTGAACGTCACCGCGGCGGATGAAGGCGTGTACACGTGCACGACCAGCAGCCCCTTTGGCTCGGTCTTGGAAAGCACGACCCTCATCGTTCTCGGTGTGTACCTCCGCGCCGGTATTTTGTGTTGCGCATGTTGGAACACGGCGACCTGATTTTAATATACAGTCTATACTCGTACAACGCGTGTTTTCATAACGGGAATTGGATATAGCTCGATTAATGTATTAGGGAACACATCTTTTTTTTTATAACGCGCATGCGAATTGGATGTAACGCGATTGAGTGAACGGAACCATGTCTCTCGAGTAGGAATAAGCGGTTGTACGGCTGCCCCTGCGTGGCATCACACAAGAAGGGATGCTACTGGATGGTTCTAGATGCTACCCACGCGCCTCGGTCTTTGTTCAGCGAGCGTACGCATCTTATGTGTTATCGCGGACTGTGCTTTACCCCTCTATATTGTGTATTATTTACCATAACACGATTTTTCCATAACGTGGTGTTCTTCAGGAATGCAACTACTGCATTAAAGGAGAACAGACTACATATTTAATTCGTGTAATCAACTCCACACAGTGGGTGAGCCAATGATTAGGTGTGTAAAGATGCATCGGTTTTGCCGATTGAAATTTATTCTTACGTTCAAAATAAAAGCATGAACGCATGCATCGAAGACTGGTCATTGAACCGAATGGAGTGAACAAGTCTGAGGCTGAACATATGAAAAACAGTCCGAACTAGACGGGTGTTGTTGTATCCTTTACAAGTGCCGATATAGTGCATAGAGTTTAATCTGAAATACACATTAATTCGGGGTGTAATGGTGCATCGATTTGTTAATTAATATTGATTCTTCAGCTCATGATACAGGCATTCAATAGCGCACTTATTTTTTATTCGACTGTGTTTTGTATACTGGGTTCCACATGTCGCCTAAAACTACTTATGCCACTACCATTCAAATGTATATTGTTTAACTAAGCGAGAACTCAAAAGACCAGCGTTGTCTCATTCGCAACGTTACATATAAAAGGATCGATTCCTGAATCAAATCGCAACCCCCGCACTGTCGCCATGTTGCAGAGCCTCCACGATTTCACCACCACTTCGTGGAGGTGGCCGCCCTGCTGTCCGGGACGACGGAACGTGAGCACGCCGGGATGGTGTCACTCAGAGGAGACACCAGCCTCAATGTGCCCACTGGACACGACCTCATTGTTGGTGTGTGGACACTCTCTTTATTCAGTGGTAACTGGCGGGTCGAATCTCTGCTGCGGTGACTATCTTCCGGCGTCACGGAGGCTAGGCTGGCAGCTGGGTGGTGGAGGGAAGGAAGAATCCTTTTTCAGGGGCGGAATTATTTGCCCACCTTTCGCTTAATTTTGGCATTTACTGGGAGTGGTTTAAATTGGCCAATGTAATGCCAGAATATCCATCTCGTTGCGGTCGTGAGACCGATAGCCCCGTATTTCAAATCTGTTTTCATCGATTCAATTTGAATGAATTATATCTTAATCTATTTGATCTAAATTGATTTGAAATGAAAAAAATGTAAGAATATTCCTGAAACTGGCTACTTGTTTTAAGCTTTCAAATTAGTTGTTTTTTACTGTTTAAAATGATGTTGTTATCCGGCCTGTAGGGCACCCAGGTAATGATTGTGCCATGTTTCTTACACACAAATGTAGGCTGCTATTCAAGTCGTTAGACGCACATTGTAGGAGCTAGACTTATTTATGTAGGAGCTAGACTTATTTTTTATCAGTAATAAGGTGGGTCGGCAGAACACATTGGCACCAAACTTTTTCTAAATAATTGTGTGAACTGACAAAAGGATTGTTGCAAATGGTAACCTTGTTGCATTCCAGCAAAATTGTAGGCAGTCAAACAGTTTCTAATCTCCTTGTCACTCAGCATCATCATGGAGCTTGTACCCCTCAAGGTGCAATGTAAGACTGCAAATAACCCCGACTCAGCCCCATATGCTCAGCTGTCCACATTCAAGCAGAAAAATAGTCGCTCCAAATGGGACCGAGGCAAAAGAGAAAAAGATAAAATGCATTGCGTGACGAGAGGATCGCGTTTCAGAATTGATGCCCCACGGAGTACATCAGATTGTATCTCAACCCGGTACATTTTTGTTTTCCTAAGACTTCACATCCCACTTGTGCAATCTATCAAGCCGCTGGTCTGGCATGACCATGAGTAATGAACGGCATTTGAGCTCTAGATGGATCCCCAGTGGTACAGCTACCTCCTCGGTTGGTAGATTTTCTGCCGCAAGCTGCCCGAATTGAAGAATAGCCTCGTTTGTTTATTTGGTTTTGAACAAAGATGTCTAACGTAGGACAGGGAGGAAATATCCATTCCTTTTACCTCCACTTGTAGGTGCTGATAAAAGCAGAATCAGAATAATAATTCATACTGGAGGAATCCGATGAACTGTGAAGTTATTTTTCACAGATGTCAAGTAGGGTCGGGTAAAACGCTACAACAACAAACAGTACAGAAACACAATAGGAGTCCAAAGTAGAAGAAATGAACAAAGTGCAAGAAAAAGCATTGTTTAACCCCCTGAAATCATTGTGAAGAGCGCAAACAACACGTGTACCGTTATTTATGAGTTAACTTATCGATGGCTAGTTATTTAATTCGTTTTTGTGTGCATTTGTCCACTTTAAAATATGCGTGTACGTGTAGTCTACGAAATTAAAATAACGTGGGGGAAAAAAGGAAAGCGAAAATAAGAAATGCATCCTTTTACTTGTTCAGCAGAATACTTACAGTAAGTTGATCATATTTAAGAATATATCATGCATAGTAAAGTTAATGTCGAATTCTGGTATCCTTTTGCCAAAAAAAACAGACTTTGTCTCAGTGAGCTCTCTCGCGTTGTTCTAAATAAAGGTCACGAGCAGCTGATTAGCATGTCTAGTTAACGGTGTACTATATTGCAGAGGACGTGGATTTTCAGCTGGAACGACTGCTTTGTTGAATTTAATATGAAACAGAAAAATGAGGGCATGCAATTGGGACCGTTTGAAAGTTACTTATATATAAAAAAGTCCTTTCAGATTAAATTTCCATTGAATGTAACCAGTTCCAGTTTTTCAGTGCACACTTATGAATCTACATACAGTTATATTATTTTTTGGTCATGAGCCAGTGAGATGTTTTATTATTATAGAATTAATTATTATTCCAATGCTTTATTTATGATACATTTCCTAAATGTTCCTGGTGAAATATCCATTATTTCCGATAGAAATATGGCATACCAGAACGTATAATTGAAATGCCCATGACATTGTTTTGCACCTACTTTCTACTCAGTTATACAACTTTTTTCAATAGTGCGCACTTTGCTCAACATTTAAAGAAAACATTTACGCAATCATTTTCTGTTTCATAAGATGTTGATCTTAACCTTCCATTTTAAAGACTTTGCAGTGTCTCGCTCTTTCCACAAAATCCTAAATATATTTAGATGTTTTTTCTGTTCCTTTGAGAAGCAAAGCACATGCATTTAATAATGCCAAATAATCACATTTATATTTATATATTTTTAAAACTATATAAAATGTACATTTCCATAAATGTTGTATCCATTGCATTATACAACTGGCTTCCCATCTCTTAAAAGTGTTTCATTGGCTGAGCCAACTGCAGAAATAGTTCACAATGCAAATATTTTATATGAGTATGTAATTTCCCCGGAGGGAGTCTTAAAGCAGGAACATTTTTAATCTCACAGAGATGTAAAATGTTAGCTTGTTAAGGCTCAGCTATACGGGGATACTTGAACATTTATTTTACTGCACAGAATTTTTATTACCTACCCAAGCCTAATGAATGATGAATGTTTGCTGGTGAGTGTTTTCCTTGCTGAAAAATAAGAATGCGTCACTCGTTTGGAATAAAAATGTGCCAGGATGTGTTTTATTTTTTGGAGTGGATTCATGTTAAGCAGTATTCCAACAATGTTATGTTAAATGTGAATTTTAAATCAACTTATACATAAAGTGCTCATTATTTATTCAGACAAGCCTCACGTAGTTTTCAAGACTTTTGTTTGTAGTAGGGGATCATACTGGGAATGTTGGACTAATTCCGAAGAATTTAATGCAATGATGATTTGGTTAAGGTTTACATATGCAATGTTATAATGTGAATAATGTTCGTTACCTGAAAAGTCACAGGTTATATATATATATATTTTATTCGAAGGCAGCGTATGTTGACAATTGTTTTGAGTTTTTTTTTGCTTTCAGAATTATTTTTGCTGAGACTGTTTTGGGTGAACAACATTGTCCTGGAATCGTTTTGCTTTGCATTTCTATCACTAACACAACCAGGAAGTTAAACTAAGTATCTCATTTCCATGTTGACCCTGTGACATCAATACTGGTGCCAGGGTCAGCCGAGCTAAGAAAATACACCGCGATCCAGTTCAAAAGGTGGCATGCGGCTCTGGCACTGTGGATAATAATAACACATGTTTTAAGAAGCACCTTTCATTTTGCAATATCTCAAAGCGCTGTACGTTAAAAAAAAACTACACTCACAAGCATAGATAACATCTAAGTGAAATAGAAAACTAATAAATAACAATATCAAGGACAACGACACCCGGAAGCCAATACAATTAAGAACAAACTATGATAAAAGCAAATAATAATTACACAGTAATACAATAAGACAATAGGAAAAGCCAATACATAAAATTTATTTTAAAATCGTAAGTTACAGGGAAAGCCTGTACAAATAGGTGAATTTGAAGACGTGATTTAGAAAGTGAAACATACTCAGAATCCCGAATGGACCGAGGAAGGGGATTCCACCGTCACAGATCTTGGCTGCAGAAGGCTACATCTCCCATAGAACAAGACAAGACAGTCTTGTCTTTGTAATGATTGTGTGACTGGGATCATAACACATAGGATTTTGCATTAAATATTCATAATACACAATTGGCGTTTTGGGTGAGGCCACGTAATGATGACGCAATTATGTGCCCTAACCCAGCGGTCAATTATGCATTGTGATTGGGATCAGTCTGGTAAGATTTAGGATCACAGGCTCTTCAGCTGAGTCTTGTTCCAGTACAATACCCACACAGTTTCCCCACTGGTCATGGAAACGAGGCATCGAATTATTGTGTTTTTTCAGAGACTGAATTGAGTTCCACAGCCACGCTGTGCATGGAAAGACAGAGGATGATAAATATTCCATCCTGCAGTGAGGCAGTTGGGTGCAGTACAGAAGCTGCCGTCGTTTAACGGTTAACTCACTGGACTTGCAATACAGAGGCCGCCGGTTCAGTTCGTTCTCCTGGTGCGGCAGTTGAAACAACAGGGCAAGTTGTATTTTATTTCCCAGCAATCTAAATTGGTCCACTACAGACAGTTCATCAGCAATTGTTGCATGAAGCGTGTAAAATGTGACGACTGCAACCCCTGGCCAGCGTAGAAGCGTTGTATTTGGGAACCACTTCCGTCACCAGTGACGTTAGCAAGTAAATTTCAGGGCCGCATGTTTAGCTTTTTTACCTTTTACAAATGAGACGAGAATGCATGTACATATCTTGAACTTCTATTGCACCGTCCGTAGCCAACCGTGTTAACCATAGATGTGATTGCTGCATTTCGGCTTTCTCACCTTCACTTGTGGTTTGTCTGTTGTTGTTGTTGTTTTTCTTTTTCTTCCTCAGGCTGTCCGGTTGCAGGCAACACCAAGCCCAATATGACGTGGTACCTGGGCAGCCAGCCCGTGCAGAGCTTGCCTGGGTTGTCGTACCAGCTCCTGGCCGGGGAGAAGGTGCTGCGCTTACGCGGTGTCGTTGGGCCCTGGGATGGCCCTGTGCGCTGTGTGGCCCAGAACGAGGCTGGCACCTTGACCGCCACACTGCACATCGCTGTTGGTGGTGAGTATCAATGTGGGGCTCTTACGTTTCACAGCTGTAACAAAGCACATACATCATCTTCATCATTAACTAGGGAAATTATAACATGTATATAGTATATGCAACTGTGAAATTCCTTTGCTGTTTATTATACTGTACATATATGTGTGTGTGTGTTGGTATATAATAGAATATATTAGTATTATACACCAAGAATAATATTTTTGCAAAGCAATTATTTATCTTCACCATCTCATTAAAGTCCCACAGTGCCTGACTCATTATCTTTGGCTGCTGTAATCCTTTCAAGGATACTGCCGTTGGGTCTTATTACAGAGAGGCATTTTCTCTGTGTTTTAACAGTGTTCTTTTGCCATTGTTAAAATTAAGGCCAAAAGTGCATTAGTTATCATTTACAGTATTTACTTATCCTATGGTTCATATAAACAACATTATTGCTGGCTTATACATTTTGGGCTCAGATCCCAAACTTCTTTGCCGCACTGACGGGAACAGTTAACAAGCTCCTTTGACACTAAGGGGTTAGATTAAGAATAATTACTTTCAATATCAGCGGCATATCTGGGTTCACTCCCAGAATTGAGCTGGACGCCGGGGGAGCCGTCCCCTTGTTCGGCAAGCTGTGGAAACACTGGCGTGCAGTCCTGGCGTCTGCGCTGCGTTCGAGACGACCTGGAGGAAGTGGACGCCTCTCTCTGCCAAGGCCTCCCAAAGCCGTCATTAGCTGCACCGCAGCGGTGCAACCGGAGAGACTGTCCACCAAGGTGAGCCAATCACATCGACAGAAATGCTCTGGAGACCGGTGAGATGGATGGTCGATGTTCGGTCGCCGCGTCGATGCCATTCGTCGCGACTTCTCGCTTGGCAGAGTGGGCCGTGTGAAGGCTGCCATCTTCCACTCCAAGTGGCCAGGTGGCTCACGAGTCAGGGATGCTAAACTGGAAGAGCTCAGAACCTAGGTTCGAGTCCAAGTTATGGCCACCTGTTGATTGAACTGTTGATTGAACAGGGTTCACAGTTGTGGTGAGCCAATGGTATCAGCCCAGTCATAAATAAATAGATCACAAACAAATGATTGTGTTCAATCAATTTGTGTTTTCACTTGATTTGCCTAAATTGATAGCTTTGGCAATGAAAATAAATAAAATGCATTTTTACTTTATTATTTTATAATGTCTGTTTTTGTAGCAGGGTGCGTTGGAAAGTGTCGCCCCTCCCCTAGTGTGGCTAACAAGTCACTTGAAGGTGTCTCAGAAGTAGTTCTGCGATGTCACCTTCTGCAAGCCGTCTCTAACATTGGGTGGTGTACTGCTGCACAAGAGCTGAGCGGACGTTGCATCATCTCATGACCAGTTGCTGATGGTTAAATTGGAATAAAGTTTGGGGATAGAAACAATATTGATGTCGTTTTGCAAAACCACCCTGTTATGTGATGCTATCGTCGCCATTTAATGTTTGTATTTGCACCTCATGTGGCCCTGCATGGCAAGTGACACGTGTACAATGTGAAATTCTGAATTACAATGCAAAGCAGTGATGCCAGTGTTGTGGAATCAGCTATTCTGCTTGCAATGAGGAATTGCCACCCTCCAAACTATACGCTGATTGTATTGTGTTTATCGGTTCGCTAATGTTTTCTGTTGATGGTATTTGTAGGTGTTTTCAGGCTGCATCTTGCTTCACTGTATAATATATATTCTAACATTATACACTCTCATTCCAGAGTTGGCTTATGACTAAAATAATTCTACCCGTGTCAGCACAAGGGTATTTAATCCACAGAGAACCTGCAAACTGCTCTCTTTATGAAATTTTTCTCATGGAATTCTACTAAAAGTTCAACTTAGTTCCCTCTGTGGCATCCATCATTCTACCCTAATTGCGTGATTCTGTGAGGTAACCCTCTTCATCCATTATGTTTCCCTTATTTGTACAGCATTTCGCGTTGGCATTTAGATGCTTCACAATCCACATTGCATTCTGTCGCAATAAGGTAAATTTGGTCGACGTGTGTCCACATGTGTGTGTGGATGCTGCCATGGTGTAATTGTCAGCACACTGCACTTACACATCCAGAGGTTTACCGGTTGGATGTGATCTCCCGGTTGCGGCAGTTGAAAAGAATGGGGAAAGTTTCCTGAAGTCCACCATCCTCTCCACCACCCCCTCATTTCCCACCCCTGTCCACCAGGAAGTTTAAACGGGCGTACCACAGCGAGTTGTACAGCAGGTCACGCGTGGTGGGGTAAAGTGTCGCTACTCCCATCTGCTCAAAGATATCTGAGGAGCATGGGAGAGGAGGCCCAAATAACCCTCCAGAGAAGTTTTCGAGAGCTTCCTCTCATGTAGGCCCAGCAATGGTACAAACAAGCGATTGCAGGGGTCTATATAACTCTTCAGATAGGTGCTTGAACGAATGGCTTTCGGGGTGGCGATATGTTACCTCTCTCGCATGGTATGAAGAAGGTTCTGGGTTTGATCCCGACCCCAACGCCTGTGAATTTGGAGCTTGCGTATTATTTGGAGTTTGCGTATTATTTCTGCTCGTGGTGGTTGCGTGGATTTTTATCCAGGTTCCTCCGGTTTTGCCCTCCTCCGCATATATGAACCATGCCTTTCGATTTATTCGGCTACGAGAAAATACCCACGTATGATGACACAAGCCACTTCGATGAGCTATCGTGTCAGAGTCAGAATCTTTATTTAGACCGGAGGAATCCGACGAGTTACGAAGCTCTTTTTCACACATGTCCAGGAGGCCGGGGGGTGAGGGTGGGGGGGGGGGGGGAGTGGCGGGAGTCAGCAAAGTTACAGCAACAAATTAACGTGTGGCCAGGCACACCTCTGAAAAAAGAACACGCAGCTCAATGGGCATTACCATGTTAAAAAAAAAAAAATGCGAATGATTTTGCAATTACTGTCCAGCTGGAGCGTCGAGGAATGGGGCACTTGCTCTCGTTCGTGCGGAGGGGGGATGCGCCTGCGTCACGTCACCTGCCAGATGCTGTCCTCGGACGGAGAGGTGACCCCGCTGCCCGTGGGGCTGTGCGAACACGACGCCGGCCCGCGACCCACCGAGGAGGAGTCGTGCGCCGCCACGCACGACTGCCCTCACTGGGTGGCGCTCGACTGGGGGCAGGTACTGGCTGCACCACGATGCACCGCGGACAAATCCGGGAATGGTGAGAGGCGCCCGGTCGCGTAAACAGGGCGATGAAACGCTGTGCAATTTGTCCATCGCTGTGTCGCTGCCGCCTGTCGGTCGGGGACGTTTGCTCAAACGCATTATCGTGGCGATCCAAGACAAGGCGACCACAGCGCACTTCTGCAGGAAATGATGATGCTTTTTTGCATAATGCGCAAAGGCTGAGTGCTTTTTACACTTGTTTGTATTTGTTTGTGAACAATCGAGCTGTTGACAATGATCACGGAGAAATGTCTCTTGTATTATATATGACGGTAAAGGTGCATCCCTGCAATTGCCTATTCATGCCTCTGCTGGCAGAAAAGCCTCCACCAGAGGGCGCTCTAGACAGCGCCTCTCGAGGGTATTTGGCGTTCTCTTTCATCGTGGATGAGTAGGCGAAATAAATTCATTTGTAATTAATATAACTATAATCACACAATAAGAAAAAATGAGATGCACAGCCCTTTGTGAAGTCACTGCCGGACATATGCCTCCCCACGCCATGTCGGGTCATGGATATTCGTTTGTCCATACTTCACCACACTCGTCAGCGCAGGTTAGTTGAAGAGGGACCCAGGACAAGCTCAGATATCACTCACCACTAATGTTAGCCATTGTCGGGAATCTAACTCGGGCTACCGGATTCGTGGTGCAGTATGATAACAACTGTTAAACACCCGATCCACTATCTGTGAATATATGCGATATATGAGTGTGACATGCGAGTTTAACCGTTCATGTAGCAAGTGCCTTTTAGTGGCATCGCATTGTACAATTCTGTCCAGAAATATTCCGACTTCCCTTTTCACCCTGCCACGGGGAAGGACCGGCGTCCAAAAACAATTAGACCCCCATGTATATTTGCCGTTCTGAGGCAATGCCGATGACAGACGGTGGCATTGAGCTGCGTGTTTGGTCTCTGCTCAAGTCTCAAGAGCTACCGAAGAGTGCCTCTGGTGACCCGGCAGCGTTGGTTTCTTGACAGTGCACCGGGCGCTGCGTGGGATGGATGACGGGGACCAAACATCGCCGGGTCTCTTGCCGCACTACGAACGGGACCCTCGTGCCTGACAGTGCCTGTGACAAATCCTCGAGGTAAAGCCTCCGATGCCACTGATGCTCCGGCGAACTCACTTGCTACTTTTCATAAGCAGGGCGGCTAAAGCGAGGGGGGGATTTCGGGGGATCTAGTTGTGTGTGTGTGTACATCTGTTGGACTTCTCTCGCACCGTACGTAGCCAAGCGTGCTAATCAGAGGTGCGGGGGGAAGGAAAACAAACTAAACACATATTCTTAGTTCTTTCGGTAAAGTCACGTTGAAGGGAAACAACAAAATAATTTATTGTTTTATATATATTTTATTATTTTGTTGTTTCCCTTCAACGTGACTTTACCGAAAGAACTAAGAATATGAATTACTGCAGTCACGAAAGCTTTAAATCAAAATTTAAACTAAACACAATAAGAGTAATATTTACTCTTTGGTTCTTTCGGTAAAGTCACGTAGAAAGAGAAAATAATAGGTTAAATAATTTTAAATTTTAAATTATTCACTCCAGGAAGTGGTCCCGAAGCTTGCTATAACGTAAGGGAACCGTGGTGATTTAAAGCCAACATCAGTTGAGCGTGGACAATTAGACCCAAGCCGAAAGATAACATATAAAAAATAATGTTTAAAAATATACATATATACATATTTTTATGTCATTAGTATGACATAAGTATACCGAGTTTGCAGTCGATACCACATTGGGAATTGGGTTAAAATTGAGTTACAATATTTGAGAATACAACGACAACAACGACAACAACAACAGACAGAGTGAGTTAATTAAAAGCGTGTTAAAAGTGCCCCTTTATGGAACGCGTTTATTAAACTGGTACACTGAAGGTCGACTATGATTTTTTGTTCACTGAGAAGGCTGCACCACATTTCCACACGCTGCCATCTCGGCACACCCCCCCCCCGGGCTCTTGCATATGATTTCCCCTGTTATGAATATCTGCTTTATGACATAATCATTTTGATTTAAAGGTTTCGTGACTGCAGGGATTCATGTTCTTGGTTCTTTCGGTAAAGTCACGTAGAAGGGAAACAATAAAATAATAAAAATATAAAATAATAAAATTCTCACGATGTTTCGACTGCAACACAAGCAATCATCATGATGATTGCTTGTATTTTGCTTGTGTTTTTTTTAAACACGATTGCTTGTGTTGCAGTCGAAACGTCGTGAGAATTTTATTGTTTTATATTTTTATTATTTTATTGTTTCCCTTCTACGTGACTTTACCGAAAGAACCAAGAATATGACGTAATCATTGTCATCATGGTAGTGTCGTTAGGTATGACACTCAAATACTTTCTCTCACAATTGTCTCATTCAGCATCCGATAAACGTATCGTGAGCTCACAATGCTGAGCTGCACTGATTGAACGTAACGGCATCGTTTTTTTCTGTGCTGTATAGCTCTCTGATGTGTTTTCGGTTTGCCAAACAGCACACGGCGCAACCCAAACGCACACAGGAGAGCTGTGGTAAATTGAATTCACTGGCACGTTTATTCATTTATTTGAAAACATCGCCCACTATTATGAGTTTCCACTTGGTACACGTTGCAGGAACATTGCCATGTTTGAGATAGAGACATTTATGCACGTGTGCCGCTACCCTGGCTGGCTGCACAAGGGGCGGAGAGGTGGAGGTGGTGGTGGTGGGGGGGGGGTTGCGTAACTGCCGTCAAATCGAGATCCCTTCGGGTTGTTGCAACGTTTTGAGAAACTCGAGGAGTTTCACGTTGGCGCTCGGGCATGTGGCGCGTGTGTGCGCGTGTGTGTGTGCGTGTGTGCGTGTGTGTGCGCGTGTGCGTGTGTGTGTGCGCGTGTGTGTGTGCGTGTGTGTGTGCGCGTGTGCGCGCGCGTGTGTGTGCGCGCGTGTGCGTGCGTGTATGCGCGCGTGTGTGTGTGTGCGTGTGTGTGTGTGTGCGTGCGTGCGCGCGTGTGTGTGTGTGCGTGTGTGTGTGTGTGCGTGCGTGCGCGTGTGTGTGCGTGTGTGTGTGCGTGTGCGCGTGGCCAGGCCGGCACTGAGCCAGAATTGCAGTGCGGAGGCGTGCGCGGGCGAGTGGCGCCCGGGACGGTGGAGCGAGTGCACGGCCACGTGCGGCAGCCACGGCTTCCAGTCCCGCCGCCTGGAGTGCGCCGGAGCCGCGGCCGACGCCGCTGGCGGCGAGCATTCGTGCGCTTGGCAGCCCAAACCCATCACTTGGCAGCGCTGCAACATCATCCCTTGCGAGAAAGGTACAAAGGCGCAGGGCCGCAGCTCGGCTTTATAGCCGCGCTGTGCTGTTATCACACCAGTAAAAGCGTGGATTGTTTGTTTTTACATTGCACGTATTGTATATGTGCACTGTGACGACCTTTGTGGGTCATAAACTATTAAAAACAAAACTGTTCCCTGGACCCACATCTGAAATCGCGCTCTCTATCACTACGTAGTGACTCTGGCGTGTGCCCATTTTTGTGTGTTTGTGTGTGCGTTGAGCGGTACTTCACGTGGCCTCAACATGCACGTAGCCTTGCACAAGCGTCGTGTTGATGTCACCGCCACTTAGTTGCTGTTGAGCGGTAGTGCCGTAGTTAGAGCACTGCACTACAAACCAAGCGACCCGAGTTCAATTCCTGGCCACGGACAACATCAGTGGCAAATATTGAAACTGGTTCTGGGCTGAGTAAGCCCATAGGCTGAGTAAACCCCTAGGTAAACCTCTAGGTTTACTCAGCCTGGTGTGGCGAGCAAATATCAGCATTGTGGAGGAAAAGGCAGCCGAGCGGTGGTGCTGGTGGCCACACCACCCGATCGTGCACCACGCCAGCTTTCATAGACGCTCGCTAACAGCACTTGCCCCAAAAGTTTGTATGGGCCACAGGAAGAATCCTAGTGTGGGGTGCATGGAAGCTGACACCTGTGCTGCTGTTGTGTATTTCTCCTCCATTTTTCAGGTGAATGTAAAGACACAACCAGGTACTGTCACCTGGTGAAACGGCTGAAACTTTGCCAGCTGATGATGTACAAGCTGCGCTGCTGTGAGTCCTGCAAAGATTTGTAAAGAGAAAAGGAAAAAAAACACGGAGAAGGGGAAAAAAGTATCTGCCTGTAAATGGGTTGAAACGCACGGGAGGAAAAAGGAATTGCAGTCACAAGACGAAAAGACATGAAAGGACACATGTGGATTCTTTCGAAGAGGAATGGCACCTTTGGCAATTCTTATTATTACAAACAGACGCCTGTGTGGAGAGAATCGAATTGTTTTTAAAAGGAACAAATTAAAAAGCAAACGTGGATAGTAACGCCTACCGTAGGTTTTTCTCAATGTTGTGAACCAGATCGTGATTGCATTTTCGGAGACACAACTTTTTCGGGGATGCAAGTGTTTTTTTAACCTTCTGTACGTTATTCACCGCGGCAACAGGACGAAGTAACTTTTTTTTCCTGGAAACAATCAAGACGGTTGCTGACATCAGAATCACTGCTGTAAATAGCTGACGCTTATATTTCAAGAACATTTAATTTTAATCCAGGAAATGTGATAGTAAAAAAAATTCGTTCACGGACCCTCATGCCATGAAATAAAAATGAAAGAGAAGATTAGAAAAATAAATTTTTATATTTTTGTCAACACGCCGTTTTAAACTAACATGACATTTCTTCTCAATGTGTTTTTTTTTCCACGTGTATTTTAAAGATGGGTATTTCTCGTGAAATGAACTAAATTATGTGTTTTTTTGTATCACCTGATATTTCTAAAAAAATTGACAAGTTAGGAGCAATAGCTTACAACACACAATACAGTATTTACTGAAACTGAACTTAAAAAAAATACTTTGTATTATGTTACACGGTGGTAATGTTCACATTTATTTTATAAGTGAAAGCAGTATTATAAAAAATAAATATATAAATTAATATTAAATAACTACAAATCAAACGCTAAGACGAAATAAGGAAAGACTGCAAAAATGTTGCATTCATCTCTTGTCTTTTATTACATAGGCTAATTATGCTTTGTCCCTGATGTTTAATCTATTTGTAATTTTAATACAATGTAGTTTAAAGTAAACATTTGTAAATAATTTATGAACTACATTTGTTTTTTTTTATTAAAGTGCAATAAATATGGTTGTATAATATGTTACGGTAAATAAATGTGTGGTTTTTATTTTTCATTGGGTCTTACAGCGCTTGCTACCAAAGCTAATCTGCTTAGAGAGAGCACTTAGGGCTTACTGTGCTACACAAACACTTGTTTTTTAATCGTACATTTTAAACTTGCATATATTTTTTATTGTATTGTAACGTGTTGCATGCATGGTCTGTCAAAAGATGTACCCTGTCAGTTTTGATTTTGAGAACTAATAAGTTGCGAGAACATGTGAAATGAACTGTTTCTTAACGATACGAAATATTTTAATGAAAGCCTGAATTAATTGAAAGTTTTATGCAACTAACAGTCAATTGAAATTCATCACGTTGTTGGGTAGTTTTATTAGAATGAATAATTTAACAACTTTCCATATTTATATATACACTATTTCCCGTTCTCTTAAATATGACCCGTCCTGTGTGCAAGTGCGTTTGTGTGTTTTCATTATCGCAGTTAATCACATACTTAATGTCTGGAAGTGTATCAAAATATGTGAAAAGTACTTTAATAAATCTAGAGCATTGTAGATTACCTCTTGTATTGATCAATGTTGCAACAATTGCTTTTGTTTTTCATGGCAAAAGTCGAATTGGCTATGGTATACGTGCGATATATTTGCCTAGTGCAATTAATGATTGAGTCAAAGTGATTTCCCGCTCAAATGACTATTGAGGCAGTGTTCATGTCCCGTTTATAGCCCTGAGCCAGTGGTGGAAATTCCACATTACTATGGTTGGGGTAGTCTATGAACAGGACAACCACTCTTGACTTCCCCAAAACGTGATACTTGTTTTATTGACCCCTGAGAGATGATGCGCTGAGTTCACCCCCAACCAGGAATTGAATTCATAACATTCTGATTGTGTGCCACCCGCTCCAGCACTGAGCTCAACTATATGGTATTTTAATAGGAATGTGTTCACGGGAATAAAAACAAAACTCAACACATTCCTCAATAACACAGCCTTAAAGGGAAATACTATATATTGTATATAAAATAGGTGAAGTTTCAGGCAATGGTGCTTCATCTTATTTATGTCCTATGAAGATGGGATGCTGCCCAAAACATTGTTATATTTTTCCTTTTAAAGCACTGTTATTGAGAAGTATATTGAGTTGTTTGTGCTTATGCACCACACCCAACGCTATCACCGATTAATGGTGTTTCACAGGAATGGATTGGTGTTAAAGATGCTACAATGCTGCAGTGGTTAGCACCCTGGTCGTGCAATCCAGACGTGCATCTTCCGGCGTGGCAGTTTCTCCCTGCTTTGTCCACCCAGCAGTATAAATTAGTACACCACGATTAGCTGATCGGCAGGTCCACGTATAGTGGGGTAATATACGTATGTTTTATTTTTTTGCGCACCGTACGTACCCGACCGTGCTAATCAGAGGTGTGGGAGTACAGCAAACAAACAAAAAAGAGTTCAAAATAATTGAGTTTTCAATCTAGATTTAGAAGTGCACAGCTCCAGTGGCTTCCTAATACAGTATTGGAAGAAAGAGCGTTCCAGACGGCCGCAGAAGCGCACTTGAAAGCGTGCGATGCGGTGGCGGTCTTTGTTCGATGGCTCGCCAAAAGCCGCTGCGAGGATGACCGGAGTTTTCCTGATGGTTTATGCATCTTGACGAGATTAGCAAAAGTATTGTGTGTCATGAGTGCGCTAAAAATGTGTGGATACTACCAGCTCTCCCAAGATGTCTGGTCAGCATGGAAGAGTAGGCCAAATACCCTCTAGTGAAGGCTCTTTGGCTTCCAGTAGGGTCAGAAAGAAATTGCACGTTTGATGACCATGCAAAGTTGTTTGAACTTAGTGTGGAAAGGATGGCCATAACCGTCTGAATGTGGAATATTCGTCTGCGGCTCAGGGACGAACAATTGAGACGAGAGCTGTCCACCACAGTCTGAAACATGGGGACAGTGACTGTGTTAAAGATAATACATGCGGTATCATTGTTTGCCCTCTGGAATGAGACACGCCACTGTAGTGCGACGTGTATTATAGTCGGCCTTTCTCTGGAACAATGTGATGAAGCTGATTGAGAGTACATCGCAAGCGGAGATGGAACGATGAGATCAGCTTGTGTACGGAAGCTGGACGGTTCGTTGCCATTGCCAGACCGCAAAGGATAGCGACTTCTTGGAGAGGCCTTTAACCAGCAGTGGATAAATCATGGCTGATGATGAGGCAAATGCCGAACTTGTGTGAGTGTAATCACTTAAGCAACACCACCTAGTCTTACTATACAGTATATACGTAAACATCAAATTGAAATATACCATAGGTAAACACACTGCACTTATAATATATATTTTAAAATACACATACATCGCTCCGAGGTTTATAAATGTGTCGTTAAAACCCGCCACCACCTGACACAGCCAACTAGTAAGGGTTGTCACGTAAACAGAACGTGGCCAATTCCTCAATAGTACAGCACACCGGTGTGTCGGAGAGCCAAGCCACAACATTTACATTTAGAAGTGCACAGCTCCAAATGTAAATGTTGTTGTGGCTTGGCTCTCCAACACACCGGTGTGCTGTACTAGTGACAATTGGCACGTTCTGTTTACGTGACAACCCTTAGCAGTTGGCTGTGTCGGGTGGTGGTGGGTTTTAACGACACATTTATATATTTGCGCGATCTAACCAAAAAACCTCTTATGGATCCTATTGGTCGCCTTCGTGTTAAACCGCTACGAGGTCGTTTGCAAAGTCGTTACCAGAAACATTTACAATTCCACTGAAGCAACCGCATCGTTTAAATTCTCATCATTTGCGACAGTATTTAACCTTGTGGTCCCTTCTGGAAGCTTTTGACAGCACTGCTGTAACGGACTTTTGTTGACGTTTTCAACAAGAGCGGTGAAGAGATGGCTTCGCGTGGGGAGGGCTGCCGTGTTTTCACAGCTGGCGAGCCAGCAATCTGACAGCGTTGCCCTTTTTCGCGTTGTGACAGCGAGCCACTTTCATAGCCCCTAAAAATGCGACACGCAAGTTTAGCTCCATGCATAAACAAGGCGGCTCAACCCTGGCTAAGTTATGTAGTGCTGCGCTGAATTATTTATCTCGCATTTCAGTCGCCAATTATATTTAAATGGTTGCTTGCTTTTTACGCGATTCTGCCAAAAGGCCAAGATGTTTAATGCAAAACACAAACATATAATCTTTCGTCAACTACAAGCCAAGCACAACTGCTTCGAATTCTGAAAATGAGGGTAAATAATTGGATTTAAGTACCAGAAAAATTGGCTAATTACTGTATTGCTTATTCGCTCGGGGCTAACGGTGGCTACAGCACCATGGCTGCAGCATGTACAAAAAAAAACTTCTTAAAATATTTTTTCTTCCGTGAAGTCAATGAAATCATAATATATCACACAAAACTCAACCATTGTACTTTTTTTTCATCTCGGGAACAAAAAAAAACCCACCGATATTTCACTTTGACAACGTTCATTATTATTCACCGACCGAAGGGCTCATTCCACGGATGAATCGCCCAACGAACTTTCATGGAGGAGTCAACCGTTTCAAATCATCGGCCCAAAGTACAACAACCCACTTTCCCCCCTCCAAGATTTCTGAGAACAGACATTTCCTGGCCACGTGTCAACAACTTCATCTCTTGGCCAGAACAGAAAGATCAGAAGGTAAGTGAGTTTGACTCTATTTAACCACGCTCTGTCAAATCATATTCGCTGTGTTAGGTAAGTATCAATTTCTAATTGCAATGTCCACATGATTCCCCCCTGTTACCATTTTGTCAAACTCGTAACCTCCTTGAAAAGTACAGGGTACACACGATTTGATCTTTTCTTTTCAACTCCCATGGCAAAGCATTGAGAGTTCTAATTATCTGTGCTATATATCGTTGTTCATTTAAAGCATTGTTGCTATGATCCCAGTAGCTTGAATGTGATGATCAGGTACACTTTACTCAAGATAAATCCACTGCTGGATGGAGGCCTCCCCATGCCACCACCACCTCTCATGATCCTGGATATGTGGTCTCCTTCGTACGCTTGATGTTGATGGAGAGCAACACCTATACTTTCACATCGAGGTGGTTAAACCAGATAATTGTGTCAAGAGTAGCGGAGTCTATCACTGCGATGCCTTTTTTCCTGTTTTGTGACTCGGGCATTGAGTCGTTTATTTGTTCCACGATCTGTTCTGGGTGACCACAGTCAGCGCACTCCCGGAGAATGTTTTTATTTTCCATTTGTGGAACAATCGCTTGGAGGAGAATAATGTGCACGCATTTATGTGAACTATGTTAAAGGCTTTGCACTGCACCAAGCATCGCGTTGAGAGTGAAGTGCCGATGACAGAACAGGATCACGCACTGTTGCAGGTGTGGCAAAGTCACGTAAGCATGTAAACAGGACAGAAAATAACGTGCGCTAAGTACGCTTTCACCCTAACACATTATAAAGTTCCCTCTTATAGCTAAACATAGTATTTTATGACTGTAGAGCATGCTGCTGGTGCATTTGGTGCCATCTGCATCCATGGCTTTTTCTCTTATAGATCCTAGTTCTTTCTTTACTTGGTTTGGTAGGATGCTGTGGTGGTGGTGGTGGTGATAGCGGTCAGCACACGACTTGCAATCCAGAGGTTCGTCGGTTCATTGTCCCGACGTGGCAGTTAAAACATCGGTGCAAGTTTCTCAAGTCCTCTCTGCCTCTGTCCACCCAGCAGTATAAATGGGTGCACCACGGTTAGTCGATCGGCAAAGAAGGGTGTGGTGGGTTAAAGTGTGGGTACTCCTACCTCTCCCAAGAGGTCTGGCCAGTGTGGCAGATTTTTCCAAATGCCCTCCAGAGGGCTCTACTAGAGCTCTCACGACTAGAGGCCCTTCTGCCAGCAGTGGCATGAGCAGAAACTGCAGTACTGCACCTTTACCATATTGAACTTTTAAGTAAGTTGCTGACAGGTCCAACCACATACTGGGTTTGTGCAGCACTTGCCGCTGGGGCATGATCGCAGCGCTGGCTGCACTCTGGACAGTGTTTAAATGTGAGCACTGTTCTCAACGTCAGGCTTAGGGTTTTCACGGGAGAGGAGTTCGACAGGTTAGCTGACTTGCTCAATCTCACTCGACATGGGTGTGCGCTGAGCAAAGCCACTAAGAGGCACCCACAGTATCCAAACGCGGCGGGTTTATGAACAGCTCAATGGGGGGGGGGGGAGGTCCCATCCCCCCCTCAAAACTTTTTTTACGTGCCAATATACTACTACTGTGTGTTCTAGTGTTTCCTTTCGCCTGGACACAATGGCAATGAGACAGATGCACGGAGCTTTTTTTAGCTTTATGGATCATTTTATGGTGTATTAAAGCCTTGCATCAGCTTTTTCTGCCCCTGGTAGATTCCATCTGGGCAGAGAAACGAATTCTAGTCTCCAGAACGTCTCTCTAGGATTACCCTCGCCACGCTAAATTTCCCTTTTGTAAGTGGTGATTTAATCTTGACAAACGAATGACTTGTTTTACCCTGTGGTGCCCAGTAACAATGTG